CCATATGCGTGCCATTTGGGACAGGGCCAATGCTGAAGCTTGCACAACAACTGGTCTAACATGTCTGACTAATCAGCTAATTGACAAGTCCTTCCTGATTTGTTGTGAGTGTGTTATACGGATGCACAATGCATATTTGTCCTCATCACAATAATATTTTCTACGATATACACATCACAAACAGAACACCTGAGATTCGGAAAGCCAGAATGTCGGCTCTTTACATTTACTCACCAACAGTAACAGTGATGGCAACAACTTGTGGCATAGAATAGGACCACACTGACCCAAACAACTACAATATTATTAACTGCTAGCCCGTAAAAGTGCTGGGCCAAGTGCCAAAAAAGAACAGAGACTGAAAGTTTACTGACAAAATATTTGTTTTCCTGCTTTGTACTTCCTGCACATCCAGACAGAGGACATAGTGAAATAGCCTATGTTAATTAGGGACGGACGATTTGGGCAAAATATTTAATACTGATTGTTCTGACCAATTTTGTGACTGCAATTCAAATTATGATTATTTTCTATAAATTGAGGTCCAAGCCTGTTTTTTTGGCCAAGAAGATTGGAACATCCGCTTCTTCTGGCTTGAGGCTTGACCACTAAACGTAGTGTGTCAGCCTGCCAGTTAGTTGTGGTTGTGTTGTCATGTTTAGAATGTCATTGGTTCAGAGTCACTGAGTTTAAACACTAATAGATATTTATTTATTTATTCATTCAATCAGAAAAATCTAGACTCTTCATGATAGGGATCATTTGAGAGAACAGAGATCACAAACAAATCATGTGGGTGTTTGGATGCCTCTGATTGGTCTAACTCATCTGCAGGAAGTTCATAAGCTGTGTGTTATTTGGTTACATTTCTCTTGCTCTTGCAATTAAAAAAAAATGCTATTTCAATATGAAAACTATTAATCTGTCGATTCTAATCTTAATCACAGTTAATCACATCTCACATCAGCACTGCAAAATGGAGCTCACCCCAGATAGCACATTTGATATGGCCCAAATCTGGGCCACATCCAGCACTTAGATGTGGCCCACAGGAAGATGTGGAAGTTGCCAGAACCCAGCCTGTTCACTGCCATTACAGGGCCACGTCTCAGCCACCTTTAAACCACCACTGTCAGAAGTGACCCACCACTCCAAACCATTAGTACAAAAACCAGGCCATTACAACAACTTCCCTGTTGGGTGTGAACGTTGCACGGTGCCATGAGGCTCAGGAAGAGGTGGTGTTTCCCACACTTGGACTACTAGCTGCAAATGGCTATGGTGTTGATGGGATTTGAACTCATGATTTCCTGATACAGGAGCAAAAGCATAGCCCATTGCACTACATTGGAGACCTGAAAGCAAATAGCATGGCCTGCCATAGAATGCAAATGAACAGAAACTTACATGTTCTATCCATCTCATAAGAAAGGAGTGAACTTTGTTGCTGATTCAAGCATTTTAGTTACAAGCTGTGCTAAATGGCGGAAATATTAGAGGGACAGTGCTAAACCAGAAGTGTGATGTTAATGTTGTCAGTTCACATTTTTTTCTAGATAACACTGTCACAGTGTATTAGTCATATGCCAGATAGCAAAAGTACCCGGGAACTTTCATCTTGATAGAATGAGGCTACATGTCCTGCATTATGCAGATCTGTGACCTCTTGCGTAAAACATTTATCTTAAGTATTTATCTTAAGTTAGATGCTTAAGAGATAAATTTAAAGTTATACGTTCATATTTTAACATTGCAAGTGTCAGAAATGTAAGTGCTGAAGCTTAAACTGAGGGTCTGAAACTCAATTTGCAATTGTGGATTTTTTTCACTTTTCATCTAAACATTTCCCTGAAGAGGTTTTACACAGCTCACTTAGGGAAAGGGAAGACGTAAGGCCAAAATTCACTTAAGATGTTTTATGCAAGTGAACACTGTACTGTATGTAGATATGCCATGATACTACTTCTTTTCTGATACTGATAACACTTTTGGAAGTTTGAGTACTGGCCAAAGCAACTACAACTCCCATATTTTATCTTCTTAAGATCTGCTAAGCTATAAAATGAGCTGTGTTTAGTTCAAGCACTTTAACTAAGATGACTTCACATGAGAGTATCTAAAAGTGTGCTATCATGCTAAAACCAGTCACACGCCCTACTACACCACAGGAAGAAACACACAGCCAAGAACATCACGCTGCACAGTGTTAGTGTGCATGACTTTATATCATATTGGCAGATATATACATCTGCATCGGACAGATGCTTAAATTTGACTGATATTTCTAACAGATATGTGGTGACGTATTTATTGTACCCTAGAAGAGCAGAATGTTTAGGTGACCCTGGGTTACTGCGCTAAAATAATCTGTATTTTATCAATTTTACTGCATTTATAGCTCTCTATAAATAAATGTTATATCTCGATGTAATGTTAGTCCAGCGAGTCCCAATTTCTACATTTTATAAATGTTTATGTATTGCCAATTATACTGGCAGATAAAAAAGTACCGTGTGTCAGCACTGGCCCACAATGCCCATTTTGTCCTATCCCCAGATATTTCAGGATAGATTTGTTACTGGTTCAGATTACATTCGATTTTTGTTTCCTTCAATATCTGACCCATTATTTTCTGCTGATTTTGGCTTAATATGTTGTTCCATTTCTGTGCCATGTTTAGTGGCACTTCTGTGACTGAACTTATATCATGTCAGGGTAGTTTGCTTAGAGGCAGTTATCTTGAAGAATGCTGAACAAGGAAAAACATTACAGTAGGTTGTATAACATCTTAATTACACAGAGTGCTGATAGAAACTTCATGATTCTGTCAAATAAAATGAAAGTGCAAAAGTATGCAAAGGCAGAAGTGACATAATTTAATACACAATAACAATACATGTCATCATATTGCCCACTCCTAATACTATGGATGGCCACAGTAAACATGTCATCCATGCTTTTATCAGAAGGCACAGTGTCAAATTGTTTCCCAATAGTTTGATTAAGGAAAATATTTGCTGGTGTTTGCTGTAGGAGCAGTGTGGACAGATGGCTGCTATTGAGAGCAGCTGGCTAATAGCAGTATTATTTGAATTACTCTAATCTACGTCTAACCAAGAAGGATGTGTTGCTGTTTTACACTTTCAGAAGAAATTACGCCTTTCAGGATACAAATGCTGTCAGGGACTGGGACCCTCAGGGGTACAGATTTAGCACTTTTTTCATGAAACATAAATATTATGGAATGTAAATGTACTATAATCCACTGGCATTTATTTTAAGCATCTTTTAACTCACTGACTAGTTTTTTTATTTAATTTTTCTGCTTAAAAAGGTATGAAAAGACAAATACACCCTTTTGCCCTTGGAAAATTGATGAAGTGCACCCTTAAAGCTCATTTAAGGTACACAGTTGGATCTTAAGGACCATATTGTACCTTCCAGGGTAAATATACAAAGTTTGTGACATTCAGAATAAAATCCAAAATGGAAAACAAACCCTCTATGACATTATTTTCATGTTGCTTGACCCCTTGACTGAAAAACAAGGCATAAGGATTTGCGTTTTACAAAAATGAAATGCTGAATTCTTGTCAGAATTGAATACAATCCACTTTGAAATGTATTGAAGACACGGCTGTTGCTTTCCACTGTGCAGTGCTTCAAATGGATTTTCCTCATTGAAATGCAGTCGTAACAGTGAAATACAATGCACACATCACATTACTTTTCCATAGGTGATGCGGGATATGTGCCAAAATGAAAAGCAAAACCTCTATAGACATTGTCATCACTTCACTTTACCTCCTTTAAACATGTTTGCCCCATTCAAATGGAACCAAAACAGTGAAATGCAATGCAAATAGGAGATTGCATTTAAACAGTAACCTGCGGAAAACTAGCCAAAGTGAAAAGCAAAAGATCCATTACATTGATTTAACGTTGTTTTAAGTACTGCACAGTGGAAAGCAGCATAGCTATGCCTTCATTACATTTCAAATTAGGGTGTATTCAGTTCTTTTGCAGCAGCTTTTATTTATTGAGAAGAACAAGGAATGCATCAGACTAGAAACAAAATACAGATCCACCATGTTTTTCAGCTAGGAGTCTCTGCTTTACCCTGGCCCAACCTGACTAAACCTCTTAAGCAGTTGCTCTTCACACCATTACATCATGGTGCTATGTTGACTGCAGATTATGGGATCATAATAACACGTACCTGATGAATTTGATTTAAAACTCTGTTATATGATATACATCCAGTGTAAAGCTGTAAGACTACATCTCTGTGTCTGCAGGTTTCCAGATTGTCAAAATATGACAGAAGCGCCTGTCAAGTATTATAAAACTTTATTACTGATCCCTGAAGGGTGAATTTAATTTTCTCTAACTGTCAATTTAATTTTGTCCAACTGTCTTCTAATAATAGTGAGATTTGGGGGGCACCGGGAGATTTCAGTGCAGTAAAATTCTAGAAGAAAACAGATCGGCATTGCTGGGAATGCCAAACATGGCAATTCCAATTCTGACATGAATTAAGAATTTTGTTTTTAAAATGCAAATCCTCATGCAGTGTTTTTCAGTTAAGAGCTCAAGAGACATGAAAATGATGTAGTAGAGGATTTGCATGTATTCTGCTTGTCACTCTGGAAAAGTAGTGTCATATGTGCACTGTTTTTCCACAGTAGTGATTGCATTTAAATTGGCACTAATTCCACTCCATAAGCTTGATGTTAACTATGTCCAGAAAAAAAATAGTTAAAATAGATTTAGAAGCACATACAGAAAATGATGAGTCTCCATCAACATCCAGTGTTGTACTGGTTGCCTGTAGTTTTAGCTCATTAGCTCATCTGAGGCAGCCTCCGTTCTGCTAACTTTACTTATCTGACTCGAAAAGCATACCGTTTTCCCGTGGCTACTTTTGAATAATAAAACGTGTTTTGAAACACATTCCTCTGTGTGATGCTACATTTTGTTCAACACCAGTGCCGTCATCTAAAATATATGCCACAGCTGTACATTGAGTTCAGCTATAATACATTTTTTTTTATATTTAGTGTTGTTTTGTTCCTTATTTACAGTTAACTGCATGTCTGTTCATGAACTCTTACGGGTAGTTGATGATCAAAATTACTCAGAATGCACTAGTTTTTACCTTGGGACAAACATTTACCTGCACAGTACTTTCTGACTGCGTAGACAACTTGTTTAAACAGACTATAAGCAGAAAAATGAGAATGGAAAATCTGGTAGGTGCAAAAACAGTAAAAGAGCAAGCACAGTTTTCTATCTAACTCATACATGCACAGATGTATTGAGTGCTAACACTTGAATGTATTTTCCACAGGATGCTCTACAGGAAAGATTGAAACCTGGCTCCAAGGCTGTGGGTAAGTGTGTGTGCATGAGCTTGTAGGGGAGAGCAGACAGTCGTCTACGTCAGCAGCAAAGCAAGTACCACACTGTGGTTGAACATAGTGTTTGTCAGTTGCAAGGCAATAAAAAACAAAGGAATGGAAACTGCTAAGAGAAGATCCGGATAAAGGTTATGATAAAAATAATAATAAATGCATGCACCTTTGGAGAGGATCAAGAACAAATTCACTGATGGTATCACAAGGCTTACAGTATAAAACTTCATATTAAAGAGAATAGTTTTGCTCTATTTTTAGAAACGTTCTATTCCCAAACTTCCTTTTGTTTGTGCTGTACAGGCATAGGAGGAAGCAGAAAAAGTGCAGTAGTGGTGCTGTTTGATCTGCCTGTTTTGTCTTGACCGGTTCCTGTAGGTGTTGTGACTCGTTGGCGTAGTGGCAGTTCTCAGCTGCTCTTCACACCGTTGTGGGGAAGCCTGTTTCTGTGAGATGCTGTTAAATTTCTCACGGTCTCTAGCATCTCCAGCATTTCCAGCATCTTGCTTAATGTTAAAGAATAGGTGCACATAGATTAAAATGCTGGACTAACAGTTTCTTCTGTGAATGTTACCACTTCCATTAAATGCTGTATTGTGATTCATCTGCAGTCCGGAGGGGTTTGTGTGCGAGTGTGTATTTTTATCAGAGCATCTTGCTGCATGCCTGCAGTTCGCCCACGAACCACACTGATTCAGATGTGATAAAAAGTGACTGCTGTGTTTTCACTCTTGCTATGTCCTTCTCTCTTCTCTCTCTCTCTCTCTCTCTCTCTCTCTCTCTCTCTCTCTCTCTCTCTCTCTCTCTCTCTCGTATGTTTATGTACATCTTCAGAAATGAAACCAACCAAGAGAACCCTAGTCACCTCACTGTGGGTAAGTTCAGTTATTTGGTTGCAGCATTATCTAGTTTAAGGCTGCATGCTATGAACATAAAATTCAATGTTTGATAAAGTAATGAAATGTATTCAAATGTTGTATCTCTGACTGGATGTGCCACCAAGTACAGACTGTATTTTGTGTAAACAGAAATTGAACTATTCTCTACTTTAAGCAATAGCAAAAAACAAAATTATAAAAGCACCATTCACTATTGTGCAAAACAAAAATAGTGGAATGCTGTAAATGCACTGTAAAGGCCAGTGCATACTAAGAGCGGTGTGAATAAATCACACGAAAATGCTAAATATTTGGCTGCAATTTTTTCGCATCAAAACTGTACACATGAGAGGATTTTTTAAAATTATTTCACCATTTCAAGTTATTTGTGCTGTGAAAAAAAGGCCAGAGTCTCTGTGGCATTGTGCAGCTTTAGAATAGCTAAAAGAGAAAGGTATCTTCGTAAAGGAGATGAAGCTCGAAACAAAGGGGCCAAATGTCTTCAAGTGCAAACATATGTTGCTCCTCACAGAACAAGCATATGGTGACAGTGGGCACACTACATTTTGGAAAAGTCAGAACTTCATCACTTCATTCAGAAGCTGTGCGCCAACATATAACTCCAGTTTGAACTGCATTTGGAGATTCTGTTCCTGCTGACGTTTAAAAAAAGTTCTAGTTGCAGATATGCAGCCAGTTCATCATCTTGGTTGTTGCCATGCCAACATCAGAAACGACTGTGATTGGTCAGTGAGTTCATGTCGCAGACGAAAGTTCACAAAAAACGAACAGAGGGCAAATAAAATAATGTCACATTTTTGCACATGGAAGAATCATGTTTGGTGTGCAAGATGCTCACATGCTCAGTTTAATTTACTGTTATCTGAATAAATTGCACAAATAAATCATGCTTGGTGTGTAAAGACCTTAACGCTGAACAATTACACACAGTATCAGTGATGTGAAGCACTGCTCTTATGAAGCATTAAAAGCTATTTGACTCCTAATGGTGCTCCCTTGTGGAGGATTTGTAAACTACAAAACATGAGTGGGTTCCACAAGGTGCTTCAGTCTAAAACCAGTCAGGATTCTCTAAACAGCTTTTTTTATTTGTGTTTGCAGTCAGTCAACAAACATGAATAAATATGTAGATTTTTTTTCAATATAGTCCTGCAAAACCAATATGTATGTATATATATATATATATATATATATATATATATATATATATATACACACAGAAACCATTACTGCGTTATTTATTTTACCGTACATGTAGTGTGAGGTAGTTTTTTCATTGCAGCCCTTAACAGTGTGTTTATTGTGTAAACTCATAACATGATAACAATAAAAATACAATGATATCGACTTAATGTTGGTACCTCGTATTGGATTGGTGCTATCTATAGTCAGGATGGGCTCAGCACACAGTAAATACACTGTGAATGTTATAACAATCTTATTGCAGTAACGATTAATAAATAATGCACTGTGCAGCGCTAATGTAATTATATTATTCAGTGTTAGCAGTGATGAGACAGGCTTCTCCTTCGACATACAGTGTTACATAATGGAGCTGTACAAAGTGCATTATATAAACAGGTTTTTAGACATTTTATAATCATAATCAGCTTGTGGTAATGAAAGGTTTGCAAATGAAGCTCGGAAATCCTTCTTTGCAGAATCTTTGCTGAAGGCTGCTAATAGTTTTGAGGATGACCTGAGCCTTGGGGCTGAAGGTAGGTAAAAAAGCCAATACCATAGCAACTGTTGACTGATTTGTATTTGCCTGAGCAAGTAAGATGGAGGGTATTTTAGGATCTTTACAAACAGGAAGGCAGTGTCGCAGGCGATATACGCAACACATGTAAATCTAACATGCAGGCCAGTCTTTTTCCTCTTGAGCCTCCCCTTGAATTCCCTAGGCCAGCACCTGCTCTGTGACATTTTTTCAACAAGTCTTAACTTGTTAGCCGCCTGCTGTAGCTGATCAGTTCGTTTCTGTTAGCGCTGTATCACGGAATGGCAACAATGGCCTGATTGTGACATCAAAAGCAAAACCTCTTCCTTGAGTGACATCCTTGTACTTGTCAGTGAGTCTCTGTCAGTGACTGTGTGATAGCAGTGATTATACACAAAGCAACAGCCTGTGACTGGATATGGGCCATCTCCCACTCTCATTCAGGACTTAGCAACACGTAGCAACACACCTAGACCAGATAGGCATCAGGCAATCTAAACAAATACCTGCCCAAGCAGATGGACACAGTGGCAGAGTATCATATAGAATGCACTCACACTAATGTGAATGAATTAAGCTTTTGCAAGTAGAAGATTTATAAAAGACCAATCAGTGTTTTGAAATTTGAAATTTAACCATTGGTACTTTTCAATTATGTATAGAAAAATACCTGCAACACTCATAATGTTCATCAAAGTATCGTGTTTGGTATGAAGATGATGTCTATGATGATTTGTTGGTTAGTAGTACATATTAAAACCAGCAGGGAATCCTCAGGGCATTCAAGGCCTTCAGAGAAGGCTTAATGATTTCTGTGAAATAAAAAAAAAATGTAATATTGAGTTCATTGTAATTTAATAGAATCCCCATGCTTGTTGTATTAAACCTCTGAACGTATCTAAAAACATCTGACAGATTATTATGCTGTAAAACTGATACAAGGTAAAATATATACTGTCTTTTACAAGCTTCAGATGTTGGTGTTTTATCTAGAACGGCAAAAATATTTATGTAAATAGCTGTTATATTAGTGATACCATGCCCCTAAAATCCCACAGGGACATTGAGAAATTAGCATTATTGTAAAAGTCTTTTTCCTCATTTTTGACCGTGTTTTGACATTTATGGCCAAAACTGAAGGCCTAGCTCGAATTGCCATGGTTCACAACTAATTCAAATTCTTTTGGCCTGTAGGTGGTTTAAACACTTGGAAGGGTTGAGTGCTGATGTCACAACAATAGCATGAAATATGTGGCCTATGTTACAAATATATAATGTGTTATATCGTTTTCCTCAGAATAAACCTAAATAGTCTTTAATATGTGAAGTTATCGCAAGCTAACAAAGAAAACATGCTCATGTGTATTGAAACATTTTGAAAAGTGTCCCCAAACCCAATGACAGTGACTGTAATGAATTTCTGTTAGAATAAATGTTGCAATTTGAGCAGAATTTAACAAATTGTGATACATCCTGTCATTGTTTTATAGCTACAGCACTAGATGTTGGATCACATCAAGAAGAGTTTGGGTAAGAAGTTTGCTTCCTGTTGAAATCTTTCCCTTAAGGGCTGAAAGATTCATTACAGAGATATTCATAACTTCTGGCTCCTGTCCCTGCAGGCACTGCCCAATGCTCCTGCCTCCTCCTAAATCACGTAAAGACTTCCACACAAGGTTACAAAACACTTCTCATCTCTGCTTCTTTCACCAGTTGTAAAGTTTTTTTAGTCCCAGTCATTTATTGCACTCTTTCTATACCATGTGTTTGTGTATCATCAGCACTCCTCAGCAAAGGCTCAGCTTACCAATGTGTAACATGGGTCACAGCATGGCGTCCAGTGCCTTCTCGTCCACCACCAGTAAAACTGCTTCCAGGTAAGGTAACTCGAAATCAACAGGGCTTGCATAAAACCTCTTAAATATTACCTGAAGTTAATTACGTAAGGGATATCATTATGTAAGCTAAGGGATGCACTTAATTAAGGATTACTCAAGGATTATACTTAAGTGTTTTTACATCACCATGTGAACTGTCAGAACTCAACATATGTTTAAGGATTTTTAGCACTTTTCACTTACATATTTCACTTAAAGGCCCCACATCAAGGAAAACTAAATTTTTCATCTTTTTGAGATGAAAGCCTTCAATGTAGTATGAATATTTTGTTAAAGTTATCATTCATTCCCCAGTTAATATGTGGAAAATAAACTGGAAAAGAGTCAGCATTGAATTCATTGCTTTTGTGATGTCATGAAAAATACTCTTTAAATATATATCTGCCTACAGTAGTTTAGCCCCACCCATTCACACTGAAGTTATAAGGGGTGTTTCAACCCCAAATAGCTTTTGTGAATGAGGCCCAACACAGGGCAACCGATCAGACTATAGGTTATTTACATATATCAGTCTTAAAGACACAGTTACAAAAACAAACATTCTAAGGGATGAATAATTGTTGAAAAATGGTCAAATAAAAATGACTTATGACTGGTTTTGGTACATAAAGCCACACAAAATTGTATTTTGAGTGGATTTCAGGGAGAAAAATGCCAAAAATATAATATATACATATTATAAATATTTTATCCATCTTACTTGAAGTAAAGGGATACATAAAACATAAGGCACTTAGTGGTTTAGGCAAGCAGCCAATTGGCCTAATATCCCTTTTGCAAGAACAGGCCTTGTTAAACTAATAGCCTTTGCTATTGTCTCATCTTTTTGATTTTGCTCTCAATGCTGCAAAGCGATTCCGGGCGCTCTCATGCATTGTCCATGTCTCTCTACCTCACACTCATGCTAGTGTGTCTGAGGTGCTGCAGATGTGTGCGGAGGATGCAGAAGAGACTCTGTATCAGTTGGGGTTTGGTTGTGAGGAGCCGCAGGTCACCGCTCGCATCCCGGCCCGTTTCTTTACTTTTCCCTCGAAGCTCAGAGGTATCAACTTCCGCCTGTTCCTCGAGTCCCAGCTCCGCCGCATACGCGAGGAGGACCCCAGCCTTTCACTCGCAAGTAAGAACAGCATTGATATTAATTTAATTGCTATATATTTTCAAAGGCTACGACTGTTGTCTTATCATTGCACTGTTTCCACAGTAAACATGTACATAAGTGCATTCTCAGTTATTGTAAGTGTGCATCTGTAGTGTAACATGTCATGTGCTGTGGAAACCATGTGTGTCACATAATTAATACTGAATATTCTGAAAACTTTACAGTTCCCACAGCTATATTGCAAACTGAGGAGCAGGAAATGTAATATGTTTATTTGTAATAAGGAACAAATAAATAAGGGACTTTTTGGTTTGCTCTGTGCAGGTCGTTTCCGTCAGGTGGAGGTGTTGACAGCCATGGCCAATGCGTTCTACTCCCTCTATTCCCACGTGTCACGGACGCCGCTTCAGAAGCTGGCCCCGCCCGAATTCAGTTTCTCCTCACCCACTGTAGAGAGGAGCATTGGACAGCGCTTCTTCGGCAACATTCGCAGCGAGCCGCGCTCTCCTGTGGAGCGCCTTAAAGATACAGTCTCCAAGATGTGTTTATACACAGGCTCTCGTGGTTCAGACTCTGCCTCTCCAAATAGTTCCCCTCGCAAGAGGAACAGCCTGCCAGACGTGGTTGGAATGGTACTGGGGACTGCAAAGAATGAAGGCGGCAGTGACCACCCTAGACGAGCATGGCTCCAGGATATGGCAGATAACGTGGCCCAGAGAGCAGGAGATAAAAATACGATACAGATTGCAGAAGTGAAGACTGCTGAGAAAGTGACCAATCCACACAAGGAGAGAATACAACGTTGGTCACAGTCAGGGCAGAGAGATGGTCCTAGGGCAAAGGGCTGCTTGTTTAAGCCTATGCGTGTATCTACGTCTCTGGAATCTACGCAAACTGAAGACTCGAGTAGTGGTACAGTCGTAGGTGAAGGTTCCACCTGTTCCACTTTGCTTTCTGCCACCTTGAACAAACCTGTTGATAACAAGCCAACAGTTGCCATTATTACCTATGATGTCATTAGCCCTCAAGTAGTGGAGTACGTGCATCAGGCACCATATCGTTGTCCACAAATGGACAATGGGGCAGCAGTAGGCTCACCTCCTGATGTTCGGATTCACAGTGAATCCTCACGTCCTGGAACACTTGAACCCAAAGACAAGCCAGCTGTCACAGATACACGACCGCAGGTTTGCTTCTCAACTGAGGATGACAATCTGGTGCAGAGATCTTCAGAGGTCCCACAAGATGACCCTGTGTCCCTCTGCCCCAGAATTTCACAAAGGTCACCGTGCAGGATCATGGTCACCGGATGGGAAGGTAACACCACCGTCCTCAAAAGAGAACCATCTGAAGACTTTGTATCTCCCCTGTGCTCTGGTAGCACCCCTCATCTGACTTCATTAGGCAACCAGAGGTACCTGAGCCCCATCAAACCCCTAACCAGCCAGATCAAGCAGGCCAACTCCTTTGAGCTGGAGGAGGTTTGTAGCTACTTATGTTTTTTTTCTCTCAGAATATACATTTAACTACGGTTTATTCATCACTGGAGAAAAGGCAACCCAGAGTTACAGATGTTCCCTGTAGATTGTTCTTTCAGAGAATCCTTGAATCTTCTTGACTGTTGCATAATGCATCTTCCCTCTTCAGCCCTCACCACATCCCTCTGCTCAATAGCCATGACTCACACAATGCACCAGACATGTCTTTACCAGCTTTCCATCCCTATATTTTCTATGTACATTTTGACATCAGATGATAACGGCAAATACAGAGTAATAATCACCAAAATTTGCAGTAGTTCGTATGCTTGCTTAAGGTGGTTAGTTTTTCTGCAGATAAAAACAAATGTGATCAATTATGATTAAACTATTTATTCAAAATAATTTGCAGATCAAATTTATATGACTGATCACATCTTTCCATTTTTGCCAGGCTGTAGCTACAAAACATATTTAGTGAGTTGCCGGGTACCAGTTAATTGCTGAATAAATTAAAGCATACCTTTATCTTATCAAAGAACATGACGGTGAAATGATATGACGGTGCACAAGCAGACATAAGGTCACATGGGTGTAGTTGATTAATAGATATTTCCTGAGATAATTTTTAGCCACTGTGTCCTGTCTCTCTGCACCACAGCCACAAAATTAAACAAAACAGCAGAGGAGCTGCTCAGCATTAGTTTTATTTGTAAACTCCATATTTTTTTTTTTAGAAATGTTTTAATGACTGTGTTATAGAGTTTTATTCTTTTATACAGACCTGATGGAAAGACAACCATATTTGTATAAATGCTTTTTTTTTTTTTTACCAGTTTCCAGTTATTTGACAGCTGGATGGAAACCTGGCTAGAGAGGGGGATGCAGAATATATTATTTCCTAATGATTTCTGCGTTTACTGGCTTTTTACAACAGTAATATCATTAGAGACAGGACTTGCACTGTGAGTGGTTTATAAGGAAACTACCAAGATTTCAGCATAATTAAATTAAATGGTGTAAAGGGCCCCTTCCAGAGTGCTTTGATGTGAAATGCTTCGTCCTAGAGAACCTTACCCAGTTAGAACTGTTCACAGTGGTGGTGATGGGAACCAGACGTCTGAGACATCTAATGCCTAAAAGCTACATCACACCAAGTTATTGCAAGAAATGGATTTGAATAAATTGTCTGATATGAGATATCATTTTATGATAGGAGAGTAGTTTACTGGTCATTTTGCATAGTACATAAAATGGTTATATTTGTGTTGTAGACATTGTGACCTGGTTTCCATCGCTACCACTGTATCCCTCCAAATGATTACATTATGCAGACATTTTAAACTTATTCCTCTTTAGTAAATAGATATTCATGTTATTGAACAAAATAATAATGCAAGTGCGTCTTTAACAATGTCAGCTTATTGATTCACCAAAGCATATCGCAGTGTTGAGCTTGTATTTTGTCAGTTTTTCGTGCAGCCCATGTAGTTTCCACAGAGCCTAGAAGGCAAATTAGTGAAACTGTATCTGCGATGGTGAACATATCAGGAGCATTACTGTGACAGTATTACTGAAATGCTTGCCGGTGTGCTGGCTTTATCTGAGTGTTGAATAACCATTAGCAACATGTTGCTTCCATATAGGTGCAGAGTGCGGGGGAGGAAGAGAACATATCAGCAGAGCACTGCAGTGCACACACACTATCTGTTACAGCAGCAACTGAACAGAAATGTGAGTCATAGAGTGTAACTGGTTTCTCGCGCCCCCACACAAAAGACTTTGTAAAGTACAGATTTAAGACTAGTTCTGTTTTTTATATGCAAATGTAAGGAACCCAGATAAGCAAAAACAGCTTACGTTCTGCATGCTCCGTAAAGAATTCACTTTTTTTTTTCACACAGGATTTACAGTAATCAATTCAGCAGAAAATGCTGGCCAGTTGAGAATGAGCGGTTAAAACAAAAAACAGTTGTTAAACAGAAGTGTTAACCCCATAGTAAGAGCACATCCTATACTGTCAGTGTTAGCACTCACTCACTGGCAGCAAATTTAATATTACAGGAAGTTATGAGGAAACCTCTGAAGTTAACACACTGCATTCTCAGAAACCTGCTTAACAATAAAAGAAAAAGAAAAAAAAAACACTCAGTGTTATAAATTAGACTGATTTCTGTGTATTAATCTACTGTTTCAGGTTCGCCCTTGCGAGGGGACAGTTTCCAGTCAGACAGCAGTGGCTATGCTGAAGAGGACATGCAGCATTCTCTCTCTATCCACAACAGAGAGATCAGCTGAGGACAGAACTCTGCTGTCACCCTTCCGTGTGTGCACCCCTGCCTATCTGCTCATCTGGGGTTTAGCTTGTCTACAGAGAGTAAACTTTCTCATATGTGACAGAACAAAAGGCCACCACAACTGCTGCGTCATTTAAAGTTACTTCGTCTGTGGGCCTTTGATTTTTCTTTGTGGCAAAAAGCCGTGACATATATAACAATGGGGCCAAAAGTTGACCAAGGAAATTTGCGTAATCAAATTCCTTTCCCTTTTCTCGAGTGAACGATATTAGCTCCTGGTTCTGAGCTACCTGAATGTATTCCAGTAACTCCGCACTGTATGTTGACATGACTTTGCCTGCCTTTGATCTTGCGCTACATGCTTTGCACCTTGTGGGTCTGCGCTACTGCAGATGTTTTACATATTTATTTGTGGTTTAATAAATTATTTATTTGCAAATCATTGCTAATATCAATTGCCGAATAACAAGTAGCACATCAACGCTTTTGTTTTGGATGCCACCACAAAAACACAAATTTCTTTTTGTAAATTTCAATATTTAACAGCATTATTGTTGTTGGGACTGTATATTACAAACATGAGCATGAAAACAGTTTCTTCTTATCGAATTAAAACACTTTTATTCTAAGCTCTGTATAAATTTATTGATGGACAAATCACAGCTCTAAAAGAATCACATTACATATTGGTACATACTTGCTTAGAGGTAGATGAGTTATTTATGCCCATATTGAAAAAATCTAACTTAATCCACAATGTGCTCACTTTATTTCATTTAATCCAGCTCAAAATAAAAATGCTGGCATTTTAATAACATTTCACACATGATCTTGTGAAAATGCTTTAATTAGGGAAGTTCAGAACTACATGGCACAATTAGTGTTGCACATTCAAATGAATGGAGATTAATCTATTTTCCCTATTGTATGGATACAATAAAAGGGTGAATAAATACTGGAAAGAATTATCTTTTAAAAAGATCTGAGTTCAGCTATGAATCAACTGTCAATACACGCGTTTCTGCAAATTTTGTATCTGAAATCTAATCTGAAGACCGACTGAATGTTATGAAGTGTAAATTTGAGTTCATTCAGTTAAAAATATAGAACAAACTATGTAGATCACTTTGAAAGGAAGTCAAATGGTAAATAGAAAATCATTAGTCTGATTAAACAAAAGGGAAGAGAAATAAAGTGTTGGTTAAAAGTATTACGGGAATATCAGACATTTCAGGATAATTCAGCAACACAATAAAACTCACCTGGGGTAACTAGCAAAAACAAATGTTCTCTGTTAAAAACCTTTGTTGTCAGCCTTTTTTGGAGTACAGATTTGCAGAGGCTTTGGATCCTTTTCAGGGGGACAAAGGCTTCATCAGTTTATCTTTAGAGCTCTGTGGGACAGTCAAATGGCTTTGGGGCATTACTAAAATCGGTGGGCCAACAAGATAGTGCACAAAAATCCAATACGCCCACAGCTGAAAACACCGCAGGCTACAGAGGTAATCTTCCTAACTCCTTTCAATTCATGTTTCTCAGACGGCACAGCCTTACTTTCCACCGGCCATGATCTTGAGGTACTGGAGTGCGTTGTGTGCTGCACTGGCTCGTGCTGCGTCCTGACTGGGGGCAAAGCCATGACACACTGTGATGGGCTGAGTGGACAACTCCACCAGACACTGGTACAGGCCGCTGAGACTGCGCTCCTCTGGGCAGGACACACAAATGCACACGTTTAGTTTAGCAGTTTCATTTCAACACACTGCATACAAGTGAAATTTCTATCTACCAAAAAGATGGCACCAAAAAGATTCTATGAAACGGACAAAGAAAGTTTGTGTATTCCCTAAAACAGGAATATTCCTAATATATTCCCAAACCAGCTGTTATCTCCCCATTATCCTACCAAAAGGACAGACAAATATATTTTATTATACATGCTGGGCAAGATCAGATGGAAATTGGCCAATTTACCCATATAATATGAGGCAGGTAAGTGGTCTTAAACTGTTTTTGAATGCTACTGTTACACCTATATCAAAATGTCAGTGTTACTATCCATTGAACACTGAACTAAATAGCCAGCCTTACGTTTGATGGAGCAGTGGCACTTGATTGTATTCAGTAAATAAGAAACATTTCATTTACAAATATAACAAGCCAGTCTGACCCATTCATTGGGAATTACAGTTTATTTCTGCATAATTAAACTGTGTCATTCCGAGTGGTCTACTGTGAAATCCTCTGTTCTAGAGAAATTTACAGTCAGAATTGTTCACAGTGGTGGTGACAGGAACCAGATATCCGAAGCTTTTAATGCCTCTAACTTGAATCACAGAAAGCTATTACTTCCGACCCCTGGTTCCGATCATCATTATTGTAAAGAAATCAGTAAGAAAAGAAGTTTACACTCTGAATGTCTGTTTACATCACTCAATTGAATTATGCAGAACATTAGGTGGAAATCTCCTTATAGAGCAAATAAGGTTATAAGGCTAGTAAAAAGTGCTGGAAATGTGCTAGTGTGTTTCAGGTGTTCATTTAGCCCACACAGTGTAAGGCACACAGGCCAACAAACTCATGATCGGTGCATCTTTGTACTGTCACAAATACGCAAATTTAAATAATGAGTTTATAACATATTTATTACACTATGATATACTGCAGACATACAGGAAAACTGCATCACAATTGTGTCGCAAAATGAAAAAATGCTCAAGTCTTGTTTTGCTTATAAGAGGAGCAGGTGGCATCTTAATGCTCTAGGGTACATGAGCTAATTCCCAATTCAAAATAAAAAATCCAAAATTAAATATGTACACAGCTGAAAATCAATTTGTTCCTGCTCTGTTTAATGTGCCATGGACTTCAGCCTGCTGTCTGGCTGCCATTTTTTTAAAATGTGGAAGACATGGAGTAATTAAGCAAGAAGACAAAGAAACACATGCTAAACAGAACTGAAACTGTTTGCACAATACGGACCAGGGGGTGCTTATCACCTTATATTGTGATCAGGCTGATTAGACTGTGATAAGAAGATATATTCTACATAACAGTTACTTTAGAATAATCATTTATTCATGTACAGTCATCAGCATCACAGTCAGTCACATTTCCTTTCAGATTCTGAGTTATTTAGTGGTTTCTGGCAAAATTCTTATCTCTCCAACATTTTCATCTTCCATCCTTAAGAAAACTGTAGGACATGAGCCACTCAGTGCTGCTCACTATATAAAACGCTAGATCATTTACTGATGCCTCTCAACATGTTTTCTGGGTTCTTTTACTAACCCCTAACAAAACTCCCCACGTCAATTACTAACATTTACAATATGCATGATCAACAATGCAATGCAATGAGCAATGTCATCGAAATAGCTTATCAGTTCTCATTCTGGAGACGAAGCTGACTATGCTGACTTTTTAGATTATTTTTAACTTGTATGTTATGCTCCAAGGTATATTTTGGTTTGTCCATATGAATTTACATGACCAAATCATAAGGCCATTTATTCAGTAACTGCATGAAATAATTGCAAATACTAATATATATATTAGGGGTGGGAATCTTTAGGCACCTCACAATTCGATTCGATTACGATTCAGAGGGCTGCGATGCGATTATAAAACGATTATCGATGCATCTCGATGCATCTTTTTTCTCTATGCATGATTTCTATCTTCCTACTGTCTGAGGACTTGGTAGTTTTAAAGCAAAGTATTTGTAATGATCCATAATGTAAATGCATTACGGATCATTACAAATACTTTGCTTTAATTATCTAAAATATCTTTTATTAATAAATCAAATGGAAGTGATGGGGCAAGTGAACTAGAAGGCTCTCATTCAGAGACGCTGCTGCCACTCATCTGCGATAAAATGCGCTGTTGCCCTGAAATAAGATCCAGTGGCAATGGGTGTCCACGCAGTACGTTACAGCCACCCTTTTGGTCTCGTTGTAGAGAGTGGGGGGGTATTTTCGAGACTGGACGCTGAATCTCGGCTCCACAGTGTGCAGCATAGCACGAAAGCCCTGGTTCTCAACGACTCAGAACAGACAGCAGACAGCAGGTCACATAGCCCCGAAGTCTAGCATCGCCAGTAGCGAACGAAAAAACAGATTAAGATGAACATTTGGAGGACTTATTCGCATTTATAAGCAGCGCGGTTGGTTAAATCTGCTGAGAGACTGTCTTTCTCTAAAAAGTTACGAAAATGAACTCGCTTCTCTTTCGTATTTTCCCGTTCCACCTTAAATGGTGCATCAGTTACATTCGGCGCCTAAGGCAGAATTTAAGGTGGAACGGGAAAATTAGAACGAGAAGCTGGCGAATGAGAAGCGACTTCAGCCTCGTAAAACAGCCGGACGCTGAGACATTTTACAAGAAACTCTTCTAGTTTTGAGGAAAAGTTTTCTGGCGGAGATGGGAGGAAAGCGGCTAAAGCTAAAGCTTAAAGCAGAGCGAAGTAAATCTGCGCTCTCGTTTATATTTTTAGCCCATACTAGGACATTAACACATACTGAGACATACTGGGCATTAAATGTTGTGGCTCCCAAGGTGGTCTGACTTCGTTGAAAGGCAAAATGGCTCTTCTTATCATTTGTGTTGTGCACTTCCGCACTTCCAGTTCAGCCTTTTGCGTTCCGTCAACATTACATTATAAATAAAATATTTAGAAAATCGATTTCTGACGTTGAATGAATCGATTCAGAATCGTTCACGTCCGCATCGCGATGCATCTAAGAATTGAGTTTTTCCCGCACCCCTAATATATATATATATATATATACATATATATATATATACACATATATATATATACACACATATACATATATATATATATATATATATACACACACACACACACACACACATACATTATATATATATATATAATTTGGTAAAAGCTCCCCTCAAATTAACAGAACATGTGTTTTATGATCACACATACTGCTATATGCTTACAATTTACTGCTGAAACCCAAAAATCTTTGACGCTCTTTGTTTTATTTTATAAAAATTATTTTTACCGAGTATATCACTGAAGAGACACCATCTGTTTATAGTTCATAGCCCAGATTTGTGGAAAAATGTGTCGACTTTCAGTAGACAAAAAAAATTGTGAGTTCAGCTTCTATTATAATAAGGGTTTAAAATTACATTACCCATCTATTTGACTGGAAAGAAGAAAGTTACAGCTCTCATATGACACCCACCTTTAGAATGTAGCTTATGAAATATGAAAGTTATGAAAAATATGACGAAGTGCGTTTTGGAACCACTGGTGGTTCCAAGGAGCATAAGAGGCTAAAATTATCCCTTAAAATTAGAAACTCCAATTTTATGCTTTATTAACATCAAAATATCCCTCGCTGGCTATCATACACTACAGGTCAAAGGTTTTACAGCACCCCCATTTTTGCAGTATTTACTTACATTAAAGCAGTTCAAGTCCAATGAATAAACTGAAATAGTACAAAAGGCAAGTGGTAAACTGCCAGAGATTAAAAAAAAATGAATAAACAAACTGAAACGTACAGCTGTTCTGCAGCAAAGGAACTAAATTAAGCTTTTAAAGTTGAAAAAACTTTCTGTCTGTATAAAAGCAGCACTGGAGCAAACTAAACCCTATGGGCAGTATATGGACAGTATGGCACTGCAGAGTATAATACATCCTTATCATATTACAAAAAAGGGCAATTAACAAACAGACAGACCATTATAACTTTTAAAAGTGTAGGTCTTTCCTTTAGAGAATCTGCAAAGAAAGTCAGACTGTCAGTGAGTGCATGTTGCAGTGGAATTCAATACTAAACGATTTAGATTAAATTTTGTTAAAATGATTCCATTTTATCTCCAATTGTTTTGTTTGTTCTATGCTTTAATTTCAGTACATTGAGACACTAAATTGCACGTCCATAAATCTGGAAAAATGGGGTTATTCTAAAACTTCTGACCGGTAGTGTAGCTGATACATTAACCCAAAGGGGACAGAAAAGGAAATTTTTTTTTGTTTAAAGGGGGATTTTTTTTTGTTTTGTTTTTGTCATCTTTGACCAGGGGGTGGCAATCCCTAGCATCCACCCTCAAATTGAGCCCTGACTACAACTAACCATTCTGAGATAGAGAGAGAAAGCTGAGTGTCCACAACATATGTCTGAGGTCAGCCATGATGCTTACCTATGTCCAGGTAGCTCACATCAAATCGCTGCTCCTCAGAGAGGTCATGGAGTAGAGAGCAGAAGTTGGAGTTAGGGAGGCCTAGAGGATGACTCCGCAGCTGCAGAATCTTCTCCCCAGCTGAATTCCGCAAAGAATCCCACGTACATCCAAATCCCTTACACTTCCCTCCCTCTAACCTGCCACCCACATGCTTAGACAGAGAGCAAGAGGGAAACAATGAACAGAAATCAGATGAGGTTTTGTAATTGACCACATTATAATGCATACAGATTTCTGCTGAAGTACCGTATGAGCATTTCTCACCATGTTGAAGGTGTCATCCTCTGCCTCAACTTCGTGACTGCTGCGCATGTCCACAGGCACATCATGGATCCGGGAGAGCATCTTCGCTGCTGCATTACGCTTAGCAAGCTTCTTTGATGTTCCACTGCCTACGAAATTCAAGTACATTTTTAATACAGATACGGTTCTAAAAGTTGATTGACTGAACTATGCTTACAGCCGTGCTAAAATACTCCACATAAAACATAAAAATAATTCTGTATTAACGTACCAAGATATTCAAAACATTGTGTTGATCAAACTACACTGCTTGCTGGAAAAAAAATGTTTTTCATTTCATTTAACATTATTTTACATTGTACTTTGTTGCCATTCTATAAAATCTGGCATTCATATTGATGTTTTACATTTTACATGTTCACATTACCCAGAAAAAAAATGCCAAACTGAAATTAAGTACATATGATTTACCAATTTCAACAAATCTTTCCACTCTGCAGGTCATTGTGAACTCTTTTCGATGTGCAGGTCCTGACTCCTGTGTGACTGTGTACTCAGGTAAACGCCAGCCTTTCTGCACCACCAGCTCCTATGAGAGAGTGAATTTTCATAAATACTTTCAAAATAAGACATGGTGTGTATGAAGACTGATGAACGTAATGTGTAATCAAATTTCACAAGTGCAAGTTCCACCCGTAAACCTTAAACCGTAGGCTGTTAGTAAGTTAGCACTGTAGTTTTGCAGAGGACCCTTTATAATAACCCACATTACAGGCTGTACCAACTACCTCAGGGGGGCTATGGGAGAGTAGATGTAACAAACTGTAACTTGCACTACTGTCTGTTTAAAAAAAAAAAATCATAAGAAACCCAGCCTTATGCATATGGGCGGTTTTCTTGATTTTTTCCTGTTGTACCAAACTCGTACCAAACCGAGATGTCTAAACTGCGGGGGACTTTTCTTTGAGCTGCTACTTCTTCTAAAAACCCACTCACGCAGTTTTTATAAAGATTCTGACATTCACCAATATTTTCTTATTTGGTATTTGTTCATAAGTAAAACTAGAATCTACACACACTCAAGAGCACAATGGTCTGAACAATTCTCCAGTTTAAGAACACATAATGAATCTGATGCAGACTTTTTCTTTGGACCTTTCTCAAGAACACTTTTAAGAAAAAAACTAAATATTGGTGAATGAGGTCCATTATCGTATTTCCTAGTGGTTTCAAAAACTGCAGTAGAGAAGTTCTTGGATGTTGTATCTCCCTTGATACTTGACATGACGAATGATGATTAATAATCGTTTGTCTTATGTTCCTAAGAAACCATGAAATAGTTCCACATGGTTTCACAGTTTTCACTGTATAGTTGCTGCTGTTGAAGCTGTCTGAATGAGTCTGTGCACACAGCACAGGAAAGCAAAGGAAACACAAAGTTTTTAATTGCTTTCTCAAACAATTTCAAATTTTCATTACTATTCATTTGTTGAGTGTTAGATTTTGACACTAGTAATATTTAATCTTTTGTTTGTTATGGGTTTTTTTTTTTGGACACAATTTTTTGTCTTTTTCTCGTTACCACTTCCAACCATTTACGCAAAGAACACATGTATTTGCAAAGAATCCATCATTCTCTCACCTGCAGAGCTCCGACTGGATTACACTCAGCTTGCTGACTGGAGCTGGAAGATTTTATCTCTGACTGGGAGCTGTGGAAACCATTTGTTACAGTCAGTAAAGAACACAAGACCCAAAGCACGCACTAGTGTCTGTGACCAACAGCACATTCTTCAACAAAGCATGTCTGCATTATCTCCACTTAAAATGACAACACACAGGCTGAAGCTTAATATGATTAAAAAAAACACTTAGCTAATATGCAATTATGTATTCCGGCTCAGAAAAGTAACATTTGATATATTACTATGATTTCACAGAGCTCTTACCAATCCCCCTCCAAGGCAATGTCTATGCCAGCAAACCCGTCTCCCTCCATCCCATTCCCCCCTAGCCCTCCCAGCATCCCTCCTTTCAACATCTTCAAGGCGGCTTCTGCAGCCTTGTGTTTGGCGGCCTTCTTGCTGGGACCCTGGCCTGTGCAGCTGATGTCTCCCACAGACACGCGGAAGGTGAAGTTGGGCTGGTGGGCCTGGCCCTCAGCCTTTAGCAGGTCGTACACTGGGGTCTTGCCTATCCGCGTTCCATATTCCTGCAGCAGACTGATGGGTGTCTTTCCGGGGTTCACAGCCAGCATTTGCTCAATACTGAGAAGAAAGAGAGACACAGAGAGAGACTTCTGAATACTCTTCAGTCTAATCTGAATATGAGTGAAAAGTGGGATTCATTTTCAAATGTTTTATTTTAAGGATGGTTCAGGATAGACCAAGATTTTTAAAAAGAGTATTTGGAATAACAAAACTAACACATATCTGGGCAGCTAAAATCATTTTACACCCAAAACTGAACCTATTATAGTCTAGTTGTATAAACGTGTTTTTTGCTGCAGGGCACTGACTGTGGTAACCATTTTACATCCAAACTAGAATCATTTTACACGTAAACTAAAACCAGCCAGCTATACCTATTCTACCTATATTTAACAGGCACCAATAACTGCAGGCCTACAACTGCTACTGGTACTGACTGTGGCACCACGGCGATGCTTTAGTTGGCTTCTTATTCGCCAGCTTTTTTAATTTTCCCGTTCCACCTTAAATGGTGCAGGCGCCAAAACGTAACCGCTGCTCCATTTAAGGTGGAACGTGAAAGTTCAAACAAGAAGCTGGCGGATAAGAGACTTCAGCTTCGTGGTACCAAGCAACACTAAAGGTGGCCTGTGAGTCTACTAGTTAGCTATCTTTGTCTGAAAATAAACCACTATCAGGTATCAACTATATTACAAACCTGATAATCGTTCAAAAGTTGGTCAGAATGTGGTTTGAAGTGACCGAGTCATTCTCGTGTAGAGGAGACCTAGCTAGGTTAGCTCGCGAGAGCTAGCCCGAGCATCCAAACAGAGCCTCACCTGGTACACCCAGAGTTTCTCTTGCAGCTAGCCGGGCTTTTCTCGTCGTTCATTCCCCAACAAAAGACAGAGGACCCACTCTTTTAGGATTGCAGATACCCCCCAAAGTAATTGAATCCCCCTTGATATCATTAGCTAATAGTTTTCCTGGAGGGGAAACCTGTAACACGAGAGGGAAGCCCCTTCTCCGGCAGACCCACATGATCACACGAGAACGAGAAGCGTTCAAATCGCGGTAAAGCAGGCCGCGGTGATGCGGAGCTGTTTCAGGGTTACATTCTAGTAGCGAGGCTCTCACTGCGGTGTGCGTTAGCTAAGCTAGCTGTTGTGCAAGTCATGTTCTGAATATGTGAGACTGTATTAAATACAGGCAACAAAGACGTAATTAGGAGGCCTCATTATCTTCCTACTCTCTCATTTTGAGATTTTATGGCAGACTGATTGTCCCAGTTTTCGAAAACACCACTGAATCTTTCTTTGGGTTTGTATGGAAGGCACCCTGTGCCTTCGATGGCCACCAACATGAACACTTTTCAAAATAAAGGTTCTAACAGGCGCGCAATGACACTGTCGGACGGTTTTTAAAAATGGGAAAAATTACTGCTACTACTAATTCAAGCCTAGTAGGCCTACATGACAAAGCTGACGCATCCCTCTGTTAAAATAATAGAACAGAAAAGGCCTAAAATTCAGGTATAACCCTGCAAATGTCTTTCAGTCTAAACTGTGAAAGAGAAAAACAAGTGGGTGCCCAGAACTTTCACCTGTGCTAGTTGTGCCAAAACTGACAAATTTATGCGGGGAAAATTTGCATCAATTAATTAAAAAAAATGCCCAACTCGTACAAGCAAAACGTCTGTTTTTATTACTTTCCACCTGTAGAGGTTGTTTCTTCGTCTTTAAAAAAAAACTGATTACAACCCATATTGTCAGTCCAACTTTTCAACATCAGTTAGTTCTTCATGAAGAATGATCTATTCTCTTATTGTAAACAAGATATACAAGTATGTACATCCAGAAAGACTAATTAATCAGATGATACACATCATATACTTGATGAAGACCTAGAAAATGCAGAAAAGGCTGCAGTTTATTATAATCAGCCGAGGGGCAACAAATTTGGCACGTATATATTTTTCTTCGCATTTTGCACCTATAAATTGTTCCAAAAATGTACGGTTGCACTGCAGGAAGGAATGAGAAAAAGGTGACCAAATCACAAAAATGACCAAAGTGTCTGAATGTATTAAGCGTTAACATCCTCAGTGCAACTGCAGCGTCGGTGATATTTTTTGAAGGAACTGTAGCTCCATCTGCAGGCGACAGGAAGGCATTGCACACAAATAGAACGCTGTCCTTACAGTACATGTTGCTAAATAGTAACATTTAGAGTACTGCTCTTTTACATCACTGTGCTCTTTCACACTTGTAGTAGTTTCAAATTTCAAAATTACATTAATTAATATACAGGACACCAATGTTCTCATTATAATGATGTTTTACAGCAGGATCCAAAAGTCTGAAACCACGTTGACAATCTGGGTTTTTTCCCTTGTAAACCTGGAAACAAACAAGCACAAAGGTATGACAAGCAAAATGAAGAACTGTTAAAGATTACACACTATTTTTAGATCATTTTTGACCATAAAAGTCTCAAAGATAGACTTGAGAACTGGGTTGATATCTCAAGAACTGTCCTAAAATGGTTCCGTCCATACCTGAAAGGAACTACTTTGTTGAAAAAGAAAATAATGTTTCTGAGAGAGAGCAAGTGACCTGTGGGGTCCCCTAGGGTTCAGTTCTGGGGCAGCTCTTATTTAATTTATACATGCTTCCTTTTGGCCAAATACTATAAGACTATGGGATATCCTACCACAGCTATGCAGATGATCTACATGGCCCTCTCCTCAAACAACTAGGGTCCCCTTGACTCACTTTGTTAGTGCCTTGAGCACATCAATAACTGGTTGGGACAAAACTTTCTGCAGTTGAACAAAGATAAAACAGAGATTATTTTATTCAAGATAGCAATGAGCCGCACAGGCTAGCTGGCTATCTGGAATCAAGAGCTATAAAATCTAAAAAACTCGCATGTAACCTTGCTGTATTAATAGACTGTGATCTCAGCTGTACCAGTCACGTCAAAGCAGTCACTAAGTCAGCATCTCACAGCAATCACTTTTAGAACATCAGGATTAGAGATTTTCTTACTAAACCAGATGTGGAGAAACTCATCCACGCTTTCACTTCTAGCACGATAGATTACTGTAATGATCTCCTAACTGGACTCCCAAAAAAGATAAACAGCTTCAGCTGATTCAAAATGCAGCTGCCAGAGTCTTACTAGGCGTAAAAGAAGGAGACACATCACCCCTGTTCTTACACCCTTATACTGGCTACCAGTCTGTTACAGAATAGACTGTAAGGTACTATTACTGGTCTATAAATCGCTTAATGATTTAAGACCAGCATATTTGTCCGGTATGCTGCAGCAATATGAGCGGAGGAGATCTCTCAGATCATTAATAACTAGTCAGTTAGTCCTGCCGAAGGTGAAGACTAAACATCAGTTTAATGATGTTTTTAACTTCCATCCTTCTTTATTTTGCTACTTTTTAAATTTGAATTATCTTTCTATTTCCTCTTTTGTAAAACACTTTGGATGACTGCAGTGTATGAAAGATGCTGCATAAATAAACTTGCCCTCCTTTTCAAATTTAAGCCAATTTGTGACATTGACCAGGTCAAGGCATTTGTACAAAAATGTCAGTCTGTCCAGTCATGTCCAGATGACTCCCAGGTGGACTTAGTGTTCTCTTCAGAGGCTTCAGAAGGTATACTGTACCATATACTAATAAATTCTAAAATTATCATTATGTAAATATTTAAAATAATCAATGTTTCACTCAGATTGTTACGCTGATAATATTATTCATAATGAAAAATTAGACCTTCTGATGTTCATCTACTGAGGGAATGCAGCTTTGCACTTTCAACAAACCTTGTGATCAGTGAGTAAGAACATTCAAGCCCACTTTTCTATTTCAGGCATTTAGGAAGCTTTAATCAGTACTATGGTCCCGCATGAAACACACCCTGGCTTAGTGCAGCAGACCTTACTGCTGTAAATACACATGCAGTGTCCCATTTCAAGCACCAACTGCACACAACAAAGAAGGGCTGGAACTAAGTAAGTGGTATAAAATGTAGAAACCGGTTTATTTAAAAAGGCTAGTGTAAATAAGGAAAGAACATCTGACTTGAAAACTGTTTAAAAAATGCAGTAACGTCTGACACCTACTGTGATGTAAAACAAATAGCATTTTCTCAAGTTAGAGAGACAACTGGAATTAAATACTGCCCCATGTCCATAGTACATCATGGACACTTCATTTATTGAGACTAAAAAAAATTGCAAAATAAATCTCAAGTAATAAATCTCATGTTTTATCAAAAGCCTGTTAGTGAAAACCATGTACTGTTCATGCAAAAAGTCTCACAAAAAGCATCACAGCCCTTCTTAAAAGAGCTGAGAAATCTCATAACACCTTGAGCTTCCACAGTCTCCTTCACAGGTTTCCTGGTTGCCTTTTCAACCTCTTGAAAAGTTCTTGCTTTTTCTACTTATTCAGTAACAGCCTATTCTTTGGCAGACTCTTCTGGAAGCTCCTCCGCTGGTTGATGCTCAGTCTCAGCCTGGGAACTGTATCCCTCCTGCTCTTCTGAGGCTCCTACAACACTCTCCTCTGACTCATTTGTGGCACCGTCTGATTCTGAAGTATCTGCCTCTGATTCTTGCTCGTCAGTTCCATTCTCCTCCTTATTTGAAAGTGTCTGACTCTCCACCACAAACTTCTCCTCTTCTTGCTCCTCAGCAAAAGTCTCCTCGTTTTCATTCACATCCAGATCGGTCTCCTCTGGAAGAGTCCGAATTTCCTCTGCAACGGTCCCCTCCATTTGCTCCTCCTCAACGGTCTCCTCAGTCTCTTCTCTTTGCTCATCTTCTTCAGTTTTGTCCAAGTCTGTCTCCTCTGTTTGATTTGTGGTGGTCTCTGATTCTTCTGAAGTCTGAATCTTCTTTGCTGCATGCTTCTTTACTTGTCGCTTGCTTATTTCAACTTCCTCTGGAATATCTCCATGTTCCTCAGGAAATTCTTCTTCTGCTGTTATTCCTTGCTCCTCTGGTAACTCCTCCTGCTCTCCTGCTTCCGGTTCTTCAGCAGATTTGTCCTCCTCTCCGGCTACATGTTCTTCAGTTACTTCTTCTGCTGCTGTTCCTTGTTCCTCAGATAATTCTTCCTGCTCTCTTGTTTCTGGTTCCTCAGTAAGTTCTTTCTTTGCTGTTTCTCCTTGTTCCTCAATTACTTGTTCCTCCTCTCTTGCTTCTTGTTCCTCAGAAACTGCTTTCTCCTCTTTTGCCTCTTGCTCTTCAGTCCTTTTCTTCTTTGCTCGGACTCTATGTTCCTCAGCATCTCCTTCCTTCTCTCTTCCACCTTGTTCCTCAGTAACTTCATCTTCGCTGGCTCCTTGTTCCTCTGTAGACTCTTCTTCTTCAGTACGTTCCTTGGTTTCTTGCTCTTTTCTATCAGCAGTGTCTTTGTGTTCCTCAACCTGACCCTCCTCTTGCTGAGCTCCAGGCACGAACTGAAAACACAAAGCATATATGATTATCTTCGAGCTGTCCCTAAACTTTGCCTTGACCTGCAGAAATGACGAGGTTTGAAAGGTACAAGACATTCTGTAAACACTGGACTTGGCTTTATATAAGATCTGTATCCATAACACCACAACTTTCATTCACCACAATGCTTACAGATACTCTGTCTTTTAAGTCCTGCACCTGGGTCTGTACGGCCTCTAGTTGGGCAGTGAGGTGGGTATGAAGACTCTCTGTGCTGGTCTGATGGTCATCCAGACTCCTGTACAGAGACTTGAGCTGCTCCTCCACCGCTTGAGCCGTTTTAACTTGCTCCACTTCCAGCAGTTCTCTAACAGAGAGATATGTAGTTAGTAAGTAATACTTACTTTTTATATTGAATTAAAATCCTGATTTCTAGTATAAACTAATTTTTTTAATTCTATATCTATTATCTATTAAATATAACCATTGCCTTTACTAAAGAACCCTTTACGAACCAGTTTTAAGGGTGTAGTAAAGGGGAAAATATGTTCCTAACTTTTGTTAAAGTAACTTTAAAAAACCTTGAAAGGTTTGATTTAAGTTATATTGGTCCATTAACATTTATACAATGTCAAGGGCAGCAGGTATCAAATAGTGTCAAAAAAAAAAAAAAAAGTTATGAGGTTTTCCTTTGACACATATTTACAATTGGAATTTCTGAAAAAGGAAAATACAAGAACTCAATTTTACAATCACATTCAAAAGGTTTTGGCTTAAACAAACAAAAAAACAACACTAACTGATAAATGAGTTGCCCACTTACTTGATATTCATCAAATCCTGTGTGTTAATAGCAAGGGCTTCCTGGTTGCTTGTGAATGACTCCTTCATTTCAGTGATTTCCTTCTTTTGGCCCTCCAGCTGAGACATCAGACCATCAACAACGGAGATGTGCTCATCCAGACGTGACTCGGTGACCGAAAGTGTGTTGGTGAGGCCAGAAATGCTAATGGCTAGATCTGAATTAGCACTCAGGATGGTGCTGACACTCTGCTTCACAGCTTCAAACTCATCACTCTTGTTCTTGATGATGGCATTCAGAGATGCAATGGAGATGGTATTCTGCTGGAGCTCAGCTGATTTGGTGTTCATCTCAGTCTGCAGAGCCCATACTTTGCTCTGAAGGTCTTTGGACTTGATTTGTTCAGAAGCGGCCAGGGCTACTTCAGCCTGTCTCTGGGCCTTGGCGTAGGCTTCTTCCAGAGCCAGCAGACGCTCCTCAAAACCTCCCACACTGGCAAGCTGGAGATAGAATCAAGATAATTTATACAGTGAAACAATGTCCTTTATACCTATACATGACTTCACTCTTTAAAAAAAAAGATAGTTCTTCAATGGTTCTTTAGTAAAGAAAATGGTTCTGTATAAAACTATAAACACTTAAAACATCACTTTGCATTATTAAAGGGACCTTCGCATCATGATAGCGTTCTTTAGATTTATGGAGAAAGTGCTATAAATGGTTCTATATAGAACATTTTAGAAAAGGATTCTACATAGCACCAAAAAGGGTTCTTCTGTTGTTACAAACTTTTATCGTAACAACAGCAGAACCCTTTTCAGTTCTATATTAAACCCTTTTCAAAAAGGCTCTATAAAGAACCATATGCAACATATTGTCCATAAATCTGAAGAATGCTTTCACAATGCAAAGGTCCCTTTTATCATGCAAAGGGTGCTTTGAGTGTTCATGGTTCTATATAGAACCATTTTCTTTACTAAAGAAGCCTTGAAGAACCATCCTTTTTAAGATGTGAAGATTTTTTAAAGGTGTGAACCATATCGCTGTTGTCTGAAGAAATATCTCCAAAATGGTAACTTTACAGGAGAAGGAATAAAACCATCAATGGAACCAGACTTTTTTCCAAGTCATTCTGGGCCGTTTCTTTTGGTCCATTCTCCATGAAATTTACAAACAATGTAAAGAGCAACAGGCATTTTCAAATTATACCAAAAACTGAAAAATGACAAAAATGGAGATACAAGGTTTTCTTCCGACAGCAGTGATATATTCATATGTAGCCAAACATCCTCTCTTCATAGTAGAAGGCAACTGTAAAGGTTAGGGGCGAAAACAAGATGAAGCTTTTATTCCAAGCTCAAGTCCTATCTATTACATTTCACTAGCCTTCTAGGCCAAGTCTCACTTAAAAAAACAAGCTTACTACACTCAGCTGGACTTGCTGATAAAATATAACACAGTAAAATAAGACAAATGCTATTTTATCCCTGTTAGCATGCCTGGAAAGTGAATTTCATTTTTCCTCTGTGCAGTTCTGTATAAGAGCTCCTGCTCTCTTCAAAACTAATGTTGTCAAAGGAAATATGATCATCCTCTCTACTGACAGTGCAACTATTAATGGCCTGGGGGCTGGCTGCACTGCATAGCTCAGCACAGCAAAAGTAATGGGCAACGTGGTCAGCTATTGCTCTCTCTCTCAGACAGACATAGCATTTGAAATACAGCTTTCCTGACCTACTTGGGCACAAACAGTACTTATTCTAGCCCCAGATAACTGTTTTACTGAGCTGGCTAGCTCTTTATAGGCTAAAACTTTAAACCACATATGAAGATTATTAGAATATGAAGGTCAGAAGGTCAGCAGATAATTTCTTATATATATGTACATGTGTATGTAAAATCAGTTTCACAGTGACTCTCCTACCTGTGCGCTTCCAGTCCCGAGCTGCTGCTGTAACTTGGTGACTCTTGTCTGGACGGTCGTGAGCGTTTCGGACAGGTCGTCAATGGCCTGCTGCTGCTGACTACAGAACCAGCCCAGTGTCAACCCCCCAATAAGGATGATAAAAAACAAAGCACTTGGGAGGACATATTCGTTGATTCCACGCGACTGTCCCACCGGAGGCTCCAGCAGTAGGAGCGCGTCGTCCTGTTTGTTGCTGCTCTTTCCTCGGCGCCTCGCCATGCCGCCTCTCGCTCCGCTGCAGTAGCCCAGCCTCCCCGCAGCTCTCACTCTCACCCTAACTCTCACCGTCGGCTGGTTAAGTTTAGAAGGGGGTACCGGGAGGGAAGGTTCGACGTTTGGGGCATCAAATGACGCCCGCTAAAGAGCTCGATGCGCGTGCAGCAAAAGGGGGCGTGACACACAGGCCGTCCCAAGGTAGGGGATCGCAGAAAGTGGCGTGTCCAATCAATTGCCACCTCGTGCTCACGGAAAGGGTTCGGTTTAGTGCGAAACCAGTGTAGATTTATTTAAAACAACTTTTGGACAAAATTGAAAATTGGCTTTCTGCCTTTTATTCCAGTCTACCTGCATTTGAGAATGAAGATTTGTTTTATCATTTTAGTGACTTTATTATTAATCTGTTAACACTGTTATTTTATGTCACCGTTTTTTTTTAATCCACAAACGTAAATGGAGTGATAAAGGACCAGTTTTTGTCCTCCTCTGCTAAATTTCAATATTATATGGTTGATTTGCGTTCTTTTTATAACGAATTAGTGCTTAAATTGGTGACTGTCGATAACGAGATTGTTAGCAAATATTTATGCAGACCTTGATGTTTCCCCCCTTTTCTTCTTTCTTTAAGCCCCTGGTATGTGTGTTATTTGTTTTAGGTGGGTGCTGTCTCTTAGTTTCTGTATAATTATATAATGTGTTAATAGAACTAACAACAAAAACAACAACAGTAATAATAATAACAATAAGACTAATAATAATAATAATAATAATAATAATAATAATAATAGGGTTCTTTAATTCCAAGTGTGCTAACATTTTGTCCTACCCCCTGAGTGGTACTGCAGCAGATATTATTAGCTTAGAATAGTATAGTAACTTTAAGTAACGTTTTTGTAACATCTGTTGTGTTTTAATGTTAATTCAACACCCTAATAGTATTCTTACCTGCTTACAAGGTACCTCTCAAGATATCCTATCTATAGTTTAATGTATTTATGTATTTATGTAAATATAATGTACACATTTCTATAGGGTAGGGCTATTCATATACGCCAGTCCTTGATGGCTTCTCTCCAGCACATTTTGGTGATATAACTCACCTACTAAACCTGGCTAACAGGTAACAGATGACTTGAACCAAGTGTATTTGGCTCTCCAAGTCTGGAACTGAAAATGTAAATGTGTTATTTTTCCTGAAGAAAAAAAAGATATATTTTGCACAATTTACATTTCTATAACCTACATTGTTAAAATGTTTTTTGCAAAAAATATTTGGATAGAAACTTAGTTGGTGTTTTAAGAGCAACAGAGACTGTGTCACTTTTAAATGACCATTTAATGATGACTTTATTTGAAGCAAAGCCATTAAAATGACATGAGCTTCATTCCATTGTTGAGAGAAATTTGGTGTTTGCACACACATGAAAGACACTCACAATCACTGTTTAGGTTTTTGTTGATCGTGCATAAGCTAGAGAGGAAAAATGAGTCTGGGTAGAGCAAATGCAGAACACAAACAACCTGTAGATATCTGATCCATTTTCTTGTCTTCTTTTGTTGTTTGACTTCCTCTATTCTGTAATTTATAAAAAAAAAGAAAATATGAATATGTCTATTTATGTACATGAGGAAACATAACCTTCAGTAATGTTCCAGTTAAATTTGCTCTCAACATCTTTATGTTGTATTGTAATGCAGACACACACCTCTGACTGTGAGCTGGGTGGAACACTCAACCTTGCCCAGTGGGTTCTCTGCCACAACTCTGTATTCTCCTGTGTCTTTGGGCCCCACCATCAGGATGAGCATGGAACAGACGCCACACGTGTTGGTGATGTAGTAGTTGGTGTTTGTGTTGAGGCTGATGTTGTTGCGGTACCAGGTGACGTGGGGTTTAGGGTTGCCACTCACAGCACAGCTCATGTAGCATTCATAGCCCTTTGGAGCTGCGTGTAGTTTCAGAGGGACAGTAAACTTTGGGGCTGACCGGAAGTCCAGGATCTTTGATTTGGGCAAGTTTACTACAAATTTCTCTGCAGACAAGAAAAGCAGGATTTTATTCAGTGCTATGCTGGGTATATGATTTGTGACTGATGATTGATGATGATTTAAAAATAGGAATTTAGATTATCAGAAGAGACACAAAATGTGTGTATTCATTGTCTATGCATTGTTCTGGTGTTGATGGTAGAACACTTGGTTCATTTGTGAATGAAAAGGCAGGATGAGAACATTTAAACTTCAAAAACATGTGGAGTCACTCTTTTAGCTATGTGTGAATGGCTTGGGAATTTTAAGGTTAGTGGTTGTCTAGCATGTTATAAGCTAAAAGGAAAGGGTGTGAGGAACATCTAAACTGGGGGTAGGGGGGTCCAACACAATTTAGTGATTTTCCTGCTCTAACACACTACTAAACCTGGAAATTAACTGAGCTGGTAGATCATCAACCTGTGCAGGAATCCAGGAATCCAGCCATCCAGGACCAGAGTTCCCTCCCCCTTACATTATGTACTACATAAAAAGATAAAACCTTTGCCCAAACCTTTCTTTTTGATAGTTCCCCATGCTGGAGACTCAGATGGTTCAGAGAGCCCCATATCATTCTTAGCAAACACACGGAAGTTATACTCTCTCCCCTGCATGATATTAACAACGGTAAATTTATGGTTGAAGAGGTGGTCTGCTACTGTCCGCCAGGTACGTTTGACAGAGTCCCGCTTCATCACCATATAGTGGAGCCGGTCATCTCGTTTCTCATCAGGAGACGGAGTCCACATGAGAGTTACTGTTCCCTCCACAATCTGCTCAAGTTGCACTGGACCTGGAGACATGGGCTCATCTGGAAAAAATTAAGCCACACAATTATTAGTAACAGTAATTCTTTGCTGTTAGTGTCATATAGAGAGTGGCTTAACAACATGTCCATCTCAGAAAGGTTGTACCAAGCCTTGAAGGAGTGTAGTGTTCATAACTCGTTCAGAGGAGTGATTTACATTTATTTTTGAAATGCAACTTGTAGTTACAAAATTAAGAGTTAGGAATTCTTCATTTTGTAAAACAAATTCAGACATGGGACAAATGAGAATATCACTAACATTATCCTCATAAGTTTTTCACACTAATAAATACTTCACTGGATCTAGGACCAGTGTCTCACTAGAAACACATGGTTTTACTGAACCAGCTGAACCTATCCGAAATGGCTTTAATTAGCTGTGTAGAGGCGGCTTAAATGAAATGAGTTATTACTGCATGCCTATTTACATTACCTGTAACTCTGATTTCAACATTGAAGGTGTCCTGACCCACCATATTCTTCACAATAATGGTGTAGATGCCAGTATCAGAGCGTTCAGATGATGGAATCAACAGCTGAGAACCTTTCTCAGAATTAGTAATTGTTACATGTTTGGCCACAGGCACACTATCTTTTAGCCAAGTGATGTCTGGTAAAGGAGAAGCCTGTTGGTAAAAATGAAGTATTAGCAAGATTATTAGTAAGATAGTAATAGTAAGATTATTTGAATAAATGTATTGTACATGCTACATCATAAAAAAAGGTTACCCTTTGAATAGCACTCAAAATGTAGGTTCCTGGGAAGCTTCCAAATTATGCTACTGTTCAAAAGTAACTAATGTTTCAGTAATATAAAACCAAATCAGTTGCATAATGTATTATGACAGGTTATATGATTATGATATATTAGCCATTGAAATGTCACAGGTTTCAAATAATAAGCAGGAAGCTGTAAAAAAAAAAATCTGCACAGTGTGCAATATAATGAAATAGGTTAATATTTGAATATGCACTGTATGTTATTATTGTTTGTAAAATAACAAAAAATATTTCAATGAAAAATGATTCCAAACTTTTGTGTGGTTGTGTGAGTTTACACTTTAAGCTTTAAGTAGGTAGCTGTTTGTGAAGTGCAGTACCTCAAAGCGTATATTAACCCGCACTGTGTTTCCAGCCTTCACAACCATAAAACTTTTCATCTTACGGTCAGTGAATTTCGGTTTTACTGCAAAGACAAATGTCAAGGTAAGGGGCAGTTCTTGTAAATGCAGGAAAAACAACAATTAGCAAAGCTGCATTATGGTTACCCTTACCAGGCGGAGGCATGGCAATGACGTAGTTATCAAACCCTTGTGGAAGTCCCTCTCCTCCCTCATTGGTGGCAATCACCCTCACCCAGTACATGGCCAAGGACTTCAGACCTACTACAGTGAAGGACGTCTGGACGACAGCGCTTGTATTACAGCGGGTCCACTCCAGCTGGTCTGTGGGTCTGATTTCCACAAAGTACCCTTTTGCTTCATCTTCCACTCCATTCATCGCTTTCGGTTTGGTCCAAGCCAGACATAGTGTGGTGTAACTAGAGCCAGTTACTTTGAGATCTTTGACCTTCCCAGGATGCTCTGCAGTCACAACAGTAATCAGAAAAGTCCTGTCTATTTTTCACGGTTTTATCCTTATCTTAAATGTAAGCGATCAGCCAAGACTTGTTTGGTGTCTAAAGTTTACTTCTTTAGGTTTGCAGAAAGTAAGTGAAGTTTATACACCACCAATTCATTTGTAGAGTCTAAATGTGCTTATGTGCTCCAGAAAAATGCAATGTTATACCTAGGTATACAGTTCACACTGTGCTAATTGGTGGGATATGAGCTTATGTTACTTAACAGCCTTGTAGCTCATGTGCTAAAACTAAAGTTTGTCCAAACTTTGGACACCAAACCGGCTCTGGCTGACTGACCGCATTTGAGTTAAGTTTTATTTTTTCACTAAACTATTCCTTTCATTTCACTCTATAAAGTCTAACAAAGTATGTTGTTTAATCTTTCTTACTCTGAGGGTCTCTTGCGAACACACAGTCAGAGGGGCCACTTGGTTCTCCGGGACCGCATGTGTTGATCGCAACCACTCTGAATTCATACTCACCTCCCTCCATTACATCTTTCACTGCATACTTTTTCTCTAATGACAATACGGGAATATGAAAAAAAATTCTTAAAAAAATATCCAAATTGTGAAAGACAAGCTGTACATGCAGCTATGCACAAGAATAATATGCATAATATAGGCCTGACATGAGATGCACAAGAACCTCTGATTGGTTCATCTGGAGGATTCACTTGACTCCAGAGATTGCTGCCCTTCTTGCGTTTCTCCACATTGTAGCCTATAATACTGCCTCCTCCTGTATTTGAGGGTGCGAGCCATGACAGATTAATGCAGTCCTTAAATGCGCTGACCACCTTTGGACAAGCAGGCTGACCAGGGAAGGCTGAAAGAAAAACAGAGTCATGAGATTTAAATGGGTGTTTATTTACTGAATCCAGGGGTGCCCAAACTTATCCACAAGGGGCTGCTGTGGCCGCGGGACTTTGTTGATTAAACCTACTTGATACAAATAAATAGGGTCAGGTGTACTCGTGCCTGTTAGAATGAAGACCTGAAGCCACATCTGCCTTTTGCAGATAAGACACCCTGATTTAATCTATTCAGCTGCTTCATCATTACATACAAGAGGGCATGTTAAGAATCTCTACTTAATTAGATACCTTAAAGGACTGGCAACTTTCCACTTAACCCACATTTAGACAATCAATCAAGACATGTTTGGTGTCCAAATTTTGCTTCTTTAGCTTAGTGCTGGAGCTGTCTTACATTACTAAAAACAGTAGAAATCAAGAGTAAACTTTTTTTCTGTAAATACATTCCTAAAACTTCTCGCACCTTGCGCATGCACATCTTTATTAAAGGCACACAGACTTGTCAATATAGTTTAGGGCACAATATGACTTACTGCGGACTATAAAAATGACCAAAACTTCACCATGTAACTGAACGCAGTGGGCAGCCATTTTAGAAGACAGGTATTGTGTTGAAGTCCAACGCCACTTCATGCACACACACATCACACAGGACACTAAATTATGTTTTCAATTTCTCTTGTTTCTACTCATAAACATAAATATCTTTGGTTCAAAAACTCAAGATTAGCAGCCATTTATAAAAAGAAATGACAAAAATTCTAAGCTTAATCTGCACACTCCCAAAAAAGATGGTTCTTCAAGGGTTCTTTAGTAAAGACAATGCTTCTATATAGAACCATGAACACTCAAGGAACCATTTGCATGCTTAAAGGATTCCTTGAATCATGAAATGGATCTTCAGATATATAGAGAATGTGTTCAATGTGGTTCTATATTGAACTTTCTTGAAAAGGGTACTATATAGCACTAAAAAGGTTCTTATTGTAACAAAAGAAGAAGCCTTTTTTGTCATATACAATGCAAAGAATCATTTAAGCATGCAAATGGTTCCTTGAGTGTTCATGGGTCTGTATAGAACCAAATAACCCTTAAAGAACCATCTTTTTTAAGAGTGTAGGGCCCATATGCCCTGAAAGGGATTCGTACTTTGACAAAACACCAGTTTGACCACAGCGCTCAGCAACACAGTAAAGTTTGAACTCTTGTTCATTTTTATAGTTCATAATAAGTCAAACTGTATGTTAAAACACATCGACAAGTCTGTGTGACCTTAATAAAGACCTGGATGCAGGTAGAATGTGATAAGTCTTAGGAATGCATTTGTGATTTGTGCCTACTGACTTCTAGCTTTTGTTAGCAACATTAGCCTCATAGCAAAACTAAACTAAAGAAGAAACTAAAACTATTAAACATCTTGCTGATCAACTACATCTGAAATAAGAGGAAAACTGCACAAATATGATTGTTTGGTGTACTATTTCTTTTATATGATTGTAGAAACAAAAGTGGCTGCTGTATGTCTTTGATGGCATTTCATTCTGCTTGCACTTCAATAGGTTGAGGAATATAAAACTGTACGTGATGTGTCTGGTTAAGGCTCATAAGAGAAGTGGAAGGAAACCCCACCAATAGAGCTTATTAAAAAAACATTTATCAAAAATTCACCCAGTGTGCCAGCTGCGATGTCATCAGTTTCCATCATGTCACTTATGCCTTCTGAGTTCTTGGCCCTGATCCTGTAACAGTACTTCCTGCCACGGTCTATGTCTGTATCTCTGTAGGTGGGCTGTCCAGGGATGTCTCCAATTTTAGTCCAGGTGTTGCGCCCCGCCTGCTGGCGCTCCAGGTAGTAATTGGTCACAGGACACCCACCATCATCTTTTGGTGGCCTCCATTTAAACTCAATAGCAGACAATGAACTCTCCACGACTTCTACAGGCCCTTGCGGTGGAGCTGGTTTGTCTAGAAAATCACAAATGTAGAAATCATATACACTATTAGTACAAATACAGAAGACTTTAATAACCTTTTTATTTTCAGGGTCTTAAAAATGTTCTACAAATCCAGTTCTAGACATACCGAGGACAATGAGTTTTGATGCTGCCTCTATGGTGGCAAATTCATTCTTGATTTTGATTTTGACTTCTCCAGTGTCTTTACGCTGACACTTGGTGAGAAATAGCCGACTGTGAGTTGAGGAACTCTCTATTTTGGCATTGGGTCCATGTAAAAGCTCCTCTTCATCTTTGAACCACTGCACTTTGACTGGTTCTTTACCCGAGAATGGAAGCTTGAAAATAGCATTTTCACCAGCTTTTACAATGATAGGTTCTGAAAATTTACTCAAGGCATCTGCATTGATTTTTGGTGGATCTAAACAAGAACAGAGTGAAACGCAATCAGTAACTGTAACCCAGGGTCCATATGTTATGGCATAGTGTGTTTGTTAAAGTTAAGCCTCGGCAAGCATGCCTACATTCATATTAATATACACTGCATCTGTATGATAACCTGACAAAAAATAGATACATAAAAACATATGAACAGGTTTTTACCTTCAATGCGCAACGTTGCCTCTGATTTACGTCCATCTGCTTCAAATTTATATGTGCCTGTATTTTCCTCCTTACAGTTCTTGATGATTAGTCTATGAGTGGGTCCATCTTTTACAATAGTAACACCATCCTTAGATTCCAGCTAAGATTCCGAATGAAAATACGAAACATGCAATATTAAGGATAATGTTTCTGTTGTGACATTACTGCAAGACATTTTACAAAAACGGACATTAAATTCTGTAAAGCATGTCAAGTCAAAATACCAAAGGACACGTTCATATGTTAGGTTTATTTGGTCATTAAAACTCGTCTGTTATCCTTTACCTTTTTACCATCTTTGTACCAAATTCCCACACTGTCCTTACTGCTAAGTTTACATGTCAATTCTGCAGACTCCCCAGTATTGGCAGTGGAGTCTGATAATCCACTGAGAAAGTGGACTCCAGGTTCTGGAAAAAAAGGTAAAGGAAATATGAAAACATGTTTAATTAATGTAGTTTTGTACATACATGTAATTAATGTAACATTTTAGGCAGTAAAAGTAAAGCGCTTGTATAACTACTGCCATATACATTATTGTTTGTTGTAATCGCATATTGCATTGTTCTACACCCTTTCTAAAGCACATGCATGAGCCAAAGTAGAGTTGATTGCACTCACAGTCCAGCATGTTCAGCCAATGGAAAGTTACTCTGCACTCACTCTAACTAACCTAATAATGTCAACCATTCACTGCGTGTTGTCTAAATATATGACAACTTATCTAATCTCATCTTATCTTAATGGACATATTTAATCTTCTAGCTAGGCAAATCTCATCATATATGAGCAAGATATGTCAGTATTTATGTTGAAATAGTGTTTTTAACAAACATTTCACATTTTGTCCTTGTACTCTGCCTTGATGAAAGGTTTGTTTGATAGCTACAATGTTGAATTATTTGGTAGTTGCAAAGTTCCATTAAGCTTTAGGAGACTTTATGTGGTTCTCTTGGTTTAACTTTTACAAAATGGCTGTATCACTTAAATTATACTGTTTGTTAACAAACTTATCTACTCTTTTCTCTTGTGTAAGTTGCAATTAAATTCATTTTTTTTGTAATGATCAATCAAATGTACTGTTGATGACAACATGCAGAATTTAAGTGTTTTTGTTCTTTCAGCTTTAGCACTAGATTCAAGAATGTATTGGTTGATTAAAAAGCTCATATGGTGTTTTTCAGTGCTGAAAAAAGAGTAGTAGTAAATTTGCTTGGCTATTTCCACCCCTGGCTGTTAGAGCTTTGTCTTCCAAATCATCTCTGTTGGGTTACATACAAACAACAGAGTTGAACACACCTGTTATAGTGTCAGGGACCAATGGACCATCTCTGATGCGCTTCTTATGCTTAGCATCTCCAGTCCCATCACCACCTGACCCATCTCCACTTGTTCCTTCTCCACCTCTTCCATCTTTTCCATTTCTACCCAAACCATCTTTTCCTGACCCATCTGCTGCTAATCCACCTTTGCTTGCTTTCTCTGTTCCATCACTTCCTGATCCACCTCTTCCTAAACCAGTTATTCCAGATTCATCTAGGCCTGATCCACCTTTTCCTAAGCCTTCTTTTCCAGAACCATCTCCTGCTCCTCCTTTTCCTAAACCATCTTTTCCTAATCCATCTCTTCCTAAACTATCTACTGCTCCTTCTTTTCCTAATCCCTCTCTTCTCATTTTATCCCTCCCTATCCCAGTCTGCCCACTTCCGTCTCCACTGATTCCATCTCCTCCGAACCCATCCCTTAAACCAGATCCAGATTTAGCTTGGCCCCTCCTCGCTGCCTCATCTCTTTCCTTCTGCAGCCTGGCCTGTTCTTCAGCCAGGCTATTAGCATCACCTGCACCACTCTGGCCTTTCCCACGGGCATTTGGATCATCTAGGTATGGAGAAAATATTGAAAATAGAGAATATGAAGAAGGAATATTGGAGATTACATATTTACACCTTGTGTAATGTTTACACTGCTGTGAGTGGGTGGTAATATAAAAACGCACCTTTAACATTCAGGGAGGCTTTGCTTAACTTGATGCCAGCGATGGCTGTGTAGATGCCCTTGTCTCCTGGTTGACAGTTCTTCACTACTAATCTGTGAGTGAGCATGTCCTCTGACACTGTGATGTCATATTTATCCCCAGGCTCAACAGAGGCATCCTTTGCACACCAGGTGATTTTTGCCACAGGACCAGACAAGATGCACTCAAATGTAGCATCCTGTCCTTCAACGACCTTAGCATCTTTCAACATGCCATCAAATTCCACATCAGGAACTGAGGAAAGAAATTATTGAACCAAGTTGGCTGAATTAGTTTAGTCCAAAATATATTCAGTTGGAACTTGGTGTAATTAAAGAAATGAGAAATGTGTCTTTAGCATGTTGATCAAAGTAGATGGATGGATGGATGGATGGATGGATGGATGGATGGATAGATAGATAGATAGATAGATACATAGATAGATAGATAGATAGATAGATAGATACTTTATTGATCCCGAAGCAGCCGGTAACAGTCACACAACACAGGACAGTAATAGTAATAAGGGTGAAACAATATAAAAAGAAGAATAAATATAAAAAAATGAAATTAAAAATGCTATCTACAGACATATTTACAAATAGAAATATACAAAAATCTGGATGAGTGGCGTCTTACTTTCAAGACCAGTTGAGAAGATGTTGACATCGTCAACATCCACCTGATATAAGCCAGCATCCTCTGGAGCAACATTATTGACGCTGAAAGTGTATTTATCACCAGCTTTCTTCATATTGTGTTTGGAAGACTTATCAGTGCCATCACCATAGTCAAGGATTTCACCATCCTGCAAAAGCATCAAGATATTAGATATTAAACACCTAAACAGACTGATGTTGAATAGTTTCTGCATCACTGCAGTGAAGACTCTACTGAACATCACCTTGTAGAGAAAAATTTTGCTGTTGGGATCCTTGAGCTTCATGTCAATTTCAAATTCAGCTTTTCCATTTGTTTTTACCTCAATTTGTTTCAAGTTTTCAACATTTTCAACAACCTGTGAAGAAATGATAATAGGTTGGATACAATAAGCCAGCTCAGAAACTTAAATGCTTTGTCAATCTAAACTGATCTATGCACAGAAAAGTGGGCCATATTACAGCTGCTGAAAACAGACATATTCCGACACCTTCGCCTGTTCTTCTTCTTGTTCCTTCTTCATCATGTTAAGTTTCTTTAACATCCAACGATAATTAGTGACTCCAAATTCACGACAGATACGCTCATAGTCCTTCTTCTGGGCACTCAGCAACACCTCCCAGAACTTTGGGTCAATCTCTCCCTCTTTCTTTGGTTTTTCTTTCCTCTTCTTCACAATTCTACATTAAAAGTCACGAAAAGCCAAACAAACATTTCAAAAACATCTTTAAAACCAAAAATTTTTGACCTTTTGAGAGGGTATTTTCATTACAGAGACAATATTTAGTGGGTTCATCTACATAGCAAACAAATGAACCCCTAAAAGGAACAGATGTGATACTGTACACAGTTTTCTTCAGCATCTTTCTGAAGTCTTCGGGGTCATTCTGTGTTGCACCTAAAATATAAAAGGAGAAAACTAATAAACAAACGAACAAATGTATCTGTGACCTACCAGATTATTTAATTACTGATTAGAATATATGTTTTAGAAACTGATTACATTTCAGGCTGAATTAACTGTTTGGTGTGGTTTGTTGACAGCTACGCTATGTAAGATTTGGGGATTTGGAGACCTCTCTGGTGGAAATGTAGAATTGCACTTAAAACATTTTGACGTGTAAATGATTTTTTCAGGCTTTATAGTGTGATTCACAGCAGTGCTCTTACGCCATACTTTAAGTGTCTTTATTCTCCTGACTCAGTAATGCTATTTCTTTCCATTTTAAGAAAAAAACTAAAATAATGCAGCTTTAAGGTAACTGTAAATTTTTAGAGTGCACTGTTTTGCTATGCACAAATTGAACCATTCATTTGGTGGTATTAAATCTGTGCATTGTGCATTTTCTCTTTTGGTGGTTCCTGCAATATGGGAGGGGTTTTATATATAAAGCATTTATGATTTACCCCCGAATCAATGACTCTAGAGGAAAAGCACATGAGGCTACCACACATATAATAACATGTTATGATATTGTTTGCAAATTAGATTTTTTCTATTGGACTTTCTATGCAACTACATCCTTCCCTCTCATTCACATTTATTGTCAGTCTTACATCAACATTGTGGTTCAATAACATATACATACCAGGTTTCTTTTTCTTGAATCCAACTGAAAAGAAAGAATGATGACAGTAAGTTTGGAACACAAGGTAGAAGATTTTTTTTTACTGACATGATTTATTTCTTACCCTCGATAACATTCAGTGTAGCTGTAGAAACAGCTCTTCCAAATGGATTTGTAGCAAAGCATTTGTATGTGTCTGCTCGGTCTACAGTCACATTTAGGACCTGTGGTGAGATAAAAGAAAGAAAGAAAGAAAGAAAGAAAGAAAGAAACCCGTGAGTGGACAAATTTTATTGACTGACCAATCACATTGACATGGCTCCCGCTGATGCATTGCATACACTGTTATTGATGACTTTTATTCTTAATTAATTTTTGGAGATTAATTCATTTTATTCATTTTAATTATTTGTTGTTTTTTTGTTGATGATAAAGGGAAAACCAAATGTTCTTTACAGGTGTTTTTAATCACAACATTATTTGAGAACGTGCACTTCAAGCACATGGAAATTGAGTCCAAATTTCAAACCGAGGCACAGAGGAGTACAGAACCGAAAAAAAAGATCTGTCCCCGACGCTCAAAGGCACTGCATATATAAGATTACTTTGTCCTATGCATTACTGAGTATACTTTTTTATATATATCTTTATTTATGATATTCCTAAAAAACTTCCAAAGGATAAAAAATAAAGTAAAAGAAGGCAAAAAAGTAAATTCAATTATACGTGGAAAATGTAAAATAAAAGACAGACAGCCTTTTGTGCAAAACTGTAGAAAATCTCCAAAACGATTAGCGGATCAGATCGACTCTGTGTATCTGTAATACCTCCACAGTCCACCAGGGAGCAGCAGCGCACTTCGGGAAACACCAGTGTAGCTCATTTTTACACCGGCAGCTTCAAAAGAGCGTGGACGCTGGAGAGTCCTGCCGCTCGAGCCGATAATGAAAGGATACAGCAAAGATTGAAACCATCCTAAACGTAGTCTACTTTAGGCCTTTTTGAGTAGCTACAGATTACAGTGATATGCTAAAGATTAAGTTTATTTCATATGACAATGGGGGGCGAGGGGAAACTCAAGGTGGTGTACTGAGAAAACCATTACTGAAGCCAGGTTTCTTTGAAAAGAAACCATTTCCAAGTTTTTTCAGTTATTTGAAAAAGAAAAGCTGGATGTTATCTTGTTCCTTTAAAGGTCTGAGGTTGGCATTCGTCAACATCTTAGTCGGCATATCCTATTTCGACTTAAGTGATGCAGCAGTTACTTTAACGCTTCTCCTGCTTTACACTCGCCTCTAACAAAATGTCTCTCGAGTCTATTGAAAAAAAGCGAGTCGCCGGGGTCGGAGAGTCGACTCCAAGCATTTCGACTCTTAGACTCACCGGCGTGTTGGAGTCGAAGAATCGATTCTTTTGGAATCGACACCCCAACACCCCGCGTTAAATCCTGCCGCCATTCAAAGTACGTTAGTTTTGGCTGCACGTGATAATAATTTGCGTAAATATTTTGCTCGTGCAGACAGTTTTGTCGTTTTTAGGTGAAAATTCTTCAGACGTCCCGGCACTGACGGCCTGCCTGTGTGCGCACCTTCATTAAAAACAGTGTGTATGGGGGCCTTCACAAGCTGTTTAGACAACTAACTAATAATCATATAATTAACTTTAGCAGCTTACTTTGTGTGTTCATTCACCAAAGTCTCGCCAAAATAATCACTTTTGGTACTGTAATGGCGGTGTTATGTGACTTATGACATGTTCAGTCCATCAACACAGAAGACTTTTCACCGACAGCTGCACTGGATGAAGTGCAGGCGACGCACGTTAGCTAATTTACTTCACCGGTCAGTTTCTGTTTTATAAAGTTTATAAAGCTGAAGAGTAACGCGATAAGATTACTTTGGAGTCTTAGCTGTATGCAGTATATCTTCAGCTATACCACTGTCCCAGTCCGTCAGGGACCACTAACATTAGCGCCGTGGGTTAGCTAACCTAGCTAAGTAAATTAACGTTAGCTAGCTGTCTGCTAACGTTAGCTGTGTTTAGCTAAGCTTTCATCAGATTTAGGTTAACAGCGACTCCCAGCGCCGAGTTGGAAGAGCTTCTTGTTTGAAATCAGTTGGAACATCTTGGAAGGTGGAAAAATTAAATAACATATTAGCTGAAAATGTAGCTACATCCTGGAAAAAACTGAATCTATTTGAAATGTTGACGTTACCTACACAAATCTGAAATCATGCACTCTATAGGTTAGCGAGCTATCATTAGAGGATAATACATTTTGCACTGTTGTTTGAAATCTCAACGTTAATTTCACTCCCTATTTAGCTAGTTCACGATAGAAGACCCACATTCATCGCATATTTTAGTGTACAGACGATGTAGTTATGCAGCAACTTCCACTCAAATGTTATAAACAAATGGAAATCAATGCCGTTACATTTTACTTAAAAACTGTCTTTCTTGATATCACATATTGTCTTTTCCATCTGAATTTACATGACCAAATCGTAAGGCAGATTATTCAGTAACTGCATGAAATAAATGTAAATTTTTATTTTATTTATTTGTTGTAAAAGCTCCCCTCAAATTAACAGAAAATATATGCTTACAATTTACTGCTGAAAGCCAAAAATCTTAGATGCTCTTTGTAGTATTTTATAAAAAATAATTTTTACAGAGCAGATCACTGAAGAAACACTGTCTGTTTATAGTTTATAGCCCAGATTTGTGGAAAAATGGGTCGACTTTCAGTAGATAAAAAAATTGTGAGCTCAGCTTTTTTTATTATAAGGGTTTAAAATTACATTATCCATCTATCTGACTGGAAAGAAGACAGTTACAGCTCTCATGACACCCACTTTTTGAATGTACCTTATGAAATATGAAAGTTATGAAGAATATGACGAAGTGTGTTTTGGAACCGGTGGTCTCAAGAAGTTGAAGAGGTTAATATAAGCATTTCATTGAAAGATGTTCTGGGTCTTTTCCGAGACATAACACTTCAACACTAGTAGCAAAACAGCCACAGTGAACATTTTTATTACAGGAAACCTGTTCGCTATGACACACAGCTGTGTAGCACGTGGGTGAATTATAAACTTGTGACAAAACCATTGGTGTGTCAGTCATTAAAATACTTAGTTGTACATATCGTGTACATGATTCACTTTTAATCATTTATATTCAGCTTTTTTATGTAAACATCTTATTTACAACTTGATCCATGATGTCAGTTCATGAAACGACAGAGGTGTCACAAATATCCGTTGTTTTTTAAGAAGCAGTGTTTCTGAACGTAGTGTCTGTAAAGTCTTTTGGTTATTCGATGCTTGGTTGCCTAGTCAGTTGAGGATATAGCACATGATATATAGTGAATAGTAAATGAGTTAACAAGTGAACCACCTGATTGCAGCTACAGTCTCTCATAAACTTGCATAAACTAGTACGTTACTTTGTGGTAAAGTTTTTAGCTCTGTGTATTGCTGTATTTAACATTATCTCCTGTGTCTGTGTCATTTCACAGAGAAATGCATCTCATTGGAAATCCCCAGCAGAGTGACTGGTAAGATGGAAGTTACTTGCTTATGTGTCCTAATGGGGGACTGACTTTTGGTCAAACTGATTGTCATTGATATGCATGAAGACATTGCTGTGGAAATCCAGTGCCTGCAAAAAGTTTCAAGATCCCTTTACTTTTTCTGTACATTTTGCCATATCTTGGCCCTGCCAGTATTTACTAGAATAAAATCACTGATATTCAGACTCAGCAGGAGCCACTTCACACTATTTACAAGATCTGATCACAGACAAAATTATACACAAAGGGCCTCATTCATCAATCTCTTCCTAAGTTTTTTCTTAAATTTGTTGTTGAGAAATGTTCTAAGAAAAAGTCGGCGTCACATTCATGACGTGTTCTTAAATCGCAAAATTGTTCGCATTTTTGTGCTCTTGAGTGTGTGTAGATTCTGTTCTTACCTTAGAACAAATCCTAAATAAGAAAACATTGGTGAATATCATGAAACTGTGTAAGTGCGTTTTAAGAAGAAATTTCTTCTGAAGAACTATTGGTGAATGAGGCTCATTGTTTGTGTTAAAAACGGAAATTAATATTTTACCTCCAAAATATATTCTCCACTCTTTTCATCATATCTTGTCTTATATTTCTCTGGGTCAGAAATTTCTCCTTTGTTGCGTGCCCAAGTTATGGTGGGTGCCGGCTCTCCTGTCACTGCTGCTTTAAAGAAGGCTGTTTTACCTGTGATCAGAAAGGACAGATTATGTTGTAGGCTAGCTCAGACAACTGGAGTTTTATTGCATACAAGCACATTTCTTGACAAAAAAACCTGATTTCTCTAAACAGCTAAAATTATTTTGGCCATGCTGGTTTAGTTTTGTGCGAGTGTGACAGAAAGTTCAAAAACCCTTTTTAAGCTCATGAAGCACGTGTTAATTAGTCATTAATCAGGTGTGTTGGGAGCAGGGAAGACATTAAATGTGCAGTGCAGATGTATTTGAGGATCTGGACTGGGCAAATGTTGGACTGGAACATAATGATACTGATTTACAAACTTCAAAGCTTCATGTTGAATATTCACCACGCTTACTTGTAGGGAATCCCTTTAAGTTTAAGTTTATAGTATTTTTTATCTCTTTTCATCACAAGCTTGCATATAACTTTGTTTTCTAGTTTTAATTGGATGGCGTAATTATCCAATCCATAATATTATTCTCAGGCAAGATGTGTGTGTGTTTTCATAGTAAGCTCTATGAATCAATCTGGATGCTGGAGTTTTTAGTTATGTGGTTTGGTTGGGTGAAATCAAGCCTGCCTGTGTGGACATCATGATATCCAAGTCACATTTATGAATTTAGATCAGCATAATGTCATATCAGTGAGCAATGGGGCAAAGACAATAAGGTTTTGTCTGATTTTTCAGCATTGCCATAATTTTGGCCTAATTTTGTGAATTACAAAAATTCATATCCATATCCAGTTAAAAAAAAATTACAAAATAGAAAAGATTGAGAAATCGTGTTCTTGCTGTAAAGTAATACAGCTGTGTATCTGTACTTAGAGGAATTGGAGGTCCTTCTTGTGTACCTATTATGAACCACAGGCTTCAGAAAAATGCAGTGACATTTGTTAGGCCTACACCTAAGGACTGCTTCCATCATTGTATAATTGTAGCCTATTAATTAACTAATCACACCTATGTGCCCTCTGCTGTTTTCTCTCACTTTGCACTCATCACAGAAGCGGCATGTTTTAGAACTTTTGCCTGTGCATAATGTTTTATCTGTCAAAATGAGTATATGTATCATTTTGAATATTGTAGAGCATTATTGACTTTGTTGACGAAGCTACAGCTCATAAAAATATGGATGTTCAGATATTGTGTGCTTCAAAGTAGTGTAATGGTTCATCAAGAAAGAAACTGTTTTATTTTGAAAAAAGAAACTTAATATTAAACAGCAGCACTGCTGCAAAACTGTGAATATGTGGGATCTAACTTCCTCTTGACAAATGTTTGTGTTAAAGGTGTATGAATGTAGTTGACTGTCCTCTGTAGGCAATGGGTGGCTCAGCTGTTTAGTTTTTGTGATATTATTTAATGACGATTGGTTAGTGATTTTTGAAGTTCAAAGTAAATTTGTAGTGCAATATTATACATATTTATATAAATACTTAAATAAATAAAATTGCAAATAAAAGAAGTGGACTTTTATTTCAACACAAAGAAGACATTGTTCTACCACTAATTGCTTACACAGATGATCAAAGTTGACAAAACATGTCTCACTGTTTTGGGCATGAGCGTTGACAGGTCATTGGATAGTTTATTAATGCTGTTTTGAAATGTTGCTAAATTGTTTATTAAAAAAAGTTAAATTACTATATATTCAGGTACTCAACTCTGATTAGTAGGGACACTATTAACAACAACAATAATTTTAAATTACATCAGTTTCTTGGGTTTAAGATATATATATATATATATATGTTTTATCTGTCAAAATGAGTATATGTATCATTTTGAATATTGTAGAGCATTATTGACTTTGTTGACGAAGCTACAGCTCATAAAAATATGGATGTTCAGATATTGTGTGCTTCAAAGTAGTGTAATGGTTCATCAAGAAAGAAACTGTTTTATTTTGAAAAAAGAAACTTAATATTAAACAGCAGCACTGCTGCAAAACTGAATATGTGGGATCTAACTTCCTCTTGACAAATGTTTGTGTTAAAGGTGTATGAATGTAGTTGACTGTCCTCTGTAGGCAATGGGTGGCTCAGCTGTTTAGTTTTTGTGATATTATTTAATGACGATTGGTTAGTGATTTTTGAAGTTCAAAGTAAATTTGTAGTGCAATATTATACATATTTATATAAATACTTAAATAAATAAAATTGCAAAATAAAAGAAGTGGACTTTTATTTCAACACAAAGAAGACATTGTTCTACCACTAATTGCTTACACAGATGATCAAAGTTGACAAAACATGTCTCACTGTTTTGGGCATGAGCGTTGACAGGTCATTGGATAGTTTATTAATGCTGTTTTGAAATGTTGCTAAATTGTTTATTAAAAAAAGTTAAATTACTATATATTCAGGTACTCAACTCTGATTAGTAGGGACACTATTAACAACAACAATAATTTTAAATTACATCAGTTTCTTGGGTTTAGATATATATATATATATATATATATATATATATATATATATATATATATATATTTTTTTACCCTTTTCTATACACTAAACTTTGCAAATACATAGAAATTGTGCACTAAAATGTAGTGCAGACTAAAATATATGTGCAGAAAAATGTAAGGATGTGTTAACTCATTCAGCAAAACATGTAATTGGAGTGCAGTTCAAACCTTTGCAGATGACAGCACCATAAAAACAGTTTACATAAATATCAATAAACTTGTTGAATGAAAAAAATTAGATGTCTAATTAGGGAAAATGTATTGTTTTTATTATTGTATCATACTGCAGAACTTTTTTTGCATCATGCCAACAGAAAAAGCCATTGAGTACCTTCCTGGGTGGTTGTGGCGGTGGGTTTTCTAGTGAAATCTGGGGTAGTTTTTCCAGGTGGTAGGTTCTCCACATACTGTGTGATCATAACACCCGGCACCCTGGATCTCTTTTTGATTGCCACTGGTAACATCAGGGGAAGATTCGTAAGAGGAGGCAGTGTAAGCATTGTAAACCATCGCAACAGCTACAGTTTATGTAGAACTATCAAAGCAGTAATTATATTTCATTCACGTTATGTCATTCAAAAAATGCCTTATATTACAAGTACCACACGCTAAAAATGCAGGTGACATCAGAATCATAGAGTAATTTCAAGCTTTTGCAACAGTAACTTCATTAAGCCACCAGAGAGCAGCACCTCGCCGCAGGAACAGGCCAGAAGAGAGTAACCCATAGGTCCGTCAGCACAGTATATATACAGGAGAGGAGCAATTTGTATTACTGTGAAACGTACTTTTTTTTCCTCAGTAGTCTTTTCTGCTAATGAGCTACTTAGTAGCTGCTTCGTTTTGATGTCTGCAAAACCTTGGAGTACTCAAATGACTTACAGTAATAACGTAATTAATGAAATGTAGTGAGTTACATTAACTTTAGAACAATTTTGAAAACATGTGTTATAGTTAGATTATATTCCTCCTAAAACAAGCAGGAGTTTCTCCTACCTGAACCAGGTGGCAAGTCGTCTTCACCTGAAAGTGTGGCATTGTGCACATGAATAGAGACAATAAAGACAGAACTCACATGTTCCTACAGAGACAATGCAAAGCTGAACAAAAAAAAGAGCAACAATACAAATAACACAAAGGGGACAGACTCTGAACTTGTTTTTATGTATGTATTTTCAAGTAAGTTTTCGGTTTAAGAAATGTAGTACATATTACATGTATGGCTGACTGAACCACATTAAAACGAGAAATGGAAATCAGATTCAAATAAAATAAAAATTAAAAAGAAAAAAGAAAGAAAGAAAAATAGAAAAAAGAAAGAAAAAAAATCAGAAAAAAATGTAACAGAAAAATAAATAATTAAATCAGTAAAAGAAAAAAATATCTAGTCTAAGGAAGTTTCTTGCAATACTGTCGAATTTTGCAGTAATAGTGTGATGCATTTGTGAAGATAATATAGACTTAGTATACATTGATGTGCCAAAAGTCATGGGACAGGAACGAGTATCGTGTAGGACCCTCTCTGGCCCGGCAAAGTGCAGCAACTCGACGTGGTGTTGATTCCACAAGTGAACGGAAGAAGTCTGGAGTGATGTTGAGCCATGCCATCTGGATAGCCACCCACAGCTCCCTGATGTTTGTAGGTGCACGGTCTCGGGTGCAAATGGACCTCTCCACCACCTCCATGCTTGACTGTGCTCATGTCGGGCAAACGTGCTGGCCACCTCATTTGTCGGAACTTTCCAGAATGCTCCTCGAACCAATTCTGGACAACTTGGGCCTGATGGCACGGTGCATTACCCTGCTGGAATATCCAGTCATTGTGGGGGTACATGAAGTCCATGAAAGGCTGCAAATGGTCACTGGCCAATGACTGGTTTAGGTGGACCAGGGGACTCAACCCATGTCATGAGAACACACCCCACACCAGTATGGAACCACCACCAGCCTGTGCAGTGCCTTGTTCTCAGTTGGGGTCCCTGGCTTCATGGGGTTTGCGCCACACACAAACCCTACTATTAGCCCGAAACAATTGGTCTTGTGGCTCATCAGACTGTGCCATATGTTGCCCGTCCTCTAGGGTCCACTTAGCAACTATACAAACTCAGGTGAGGCGCTGTGGCTTGTGTCGTGGTGTTAACAGAGGCATTCTGGTGGGTCTTCTGCTCCCATATCCCATGGAAGCTAAACAATGATATACTGACCTGCATTGCGTGTGGGGCCTCCTGCACCTGGATGTGTTTTTGGCCAGAGTCAGTTGTCTGTTCTAGCCAGATGCCCCCAGTCATGATCATTAATGACCTGTGATGTATTCCGAGTGCACACATGACACTGTGGATCAAAGAATGTTAAATGCCCACACAACTTCAGAAATGGAATGTTCCATCAGTCTGGGATCCACTATCATGCCTCAATCAAACTCCAATAATTCACCACTCCGGTGTTCACCCTCACTTACAAGATAACTTCACAACTGATACAGGTATGGCCGTTTCCAAGCTGTCCCCTGAGGTAACACCACTTCATAATCAATTTGCATACTGCTAATGCATGACTTTTGGCACGTCAATGTAATTTCTTATTAATAGCTAGTGTCTCTTACAAAGCTTTGCTCTCGTTGCTACTCTGGAACAGATAAGAAATAATACCTAGCCTATTTGTATTTGGTCTGGTCATTTACTGATCAACTGACAGGTCTAATACAGTCAACACTGCATATGCATTTCAATCATTATGCACAAAAGCACACAGACAAGATAGGAAAAAAAAGGTGCTTCTACAAAATAAAAGCCTAATGCAACAACAACTGCAGCAGCGACAGTAACACTCATGCCACCACAAAAATAGAGGTAAACTAAGATTCCAAAACTGCTGGAATTTGCTTCTTGCGGAGTGATGTTTGAAGTAGGAAATTTATAACCATAGAATGGTAATGTGATTAAAAAAAAGAAAATGAAAAACAAAGAGTCCTCTTCAGTTCTCCTCAGGTTTCAATATGGCTGACTTGTCTTATCATATTTAGGTCAAAAAGCTGCCGAGTTTGTTCTGTTCCTTACGACTGTCCTCTGTCATGGATCTTCGTCCTACCCGTCCGAACACTTAAACGCTGTATGCGTGTGACCAACTTAATGATTGACGTTTTCATGGACGTCTAATGATGCTGTATTCAAAAGCCTTTCTTTCCCACTTGCATATTCAGGTTCTGACACTCGATAGATTATCAGTTTTCAGTGATTCATATCTGAACCATCTTGTCTGAAAACAGGGCCAATAAGAAGGCCGACTTACCCTCCCCTGTGGGAACACTTCCTGCAGACATCCTGAATTCCTACTTTAATTCCACAATTCAGCGAGGTGTTTTGGCTCTGAAATAAAAAAGTGAGTTTAGATAACCAAAATGCATGAGGTAATACTGAACAGTCCTTGGCTTATACTGAATGGCCAGTTTATTAGGTGCACCTCTCTTGTGTCTACAATCGCTGGCCTGGCCCACTGACCATCCATCAATAGAAAATGTCCATCAATTTAAAATGATCACCAGGTGTTATTTATGTGGTGGACCGTTCTCAATAAAGAGGTGACTTTGACATAGTAGTTGCATGTAAGTGCTGTTATGGTGATAAGTGTGTGCCAGGAGCAACAGATTGCTTAGGTCTTTTTATATCTGGCCAACCGTGGTCTTGTGCACTGATGAAAGGCCAGAGAATGACTAACACACATAATATCTGGTCAGTGGTTGTCCTGTGGTGGTCTCTTTTTATTGATGGATGGGGTAAAGTCTGGCTGAAAATTGTGTAGCAAACAAATATACAGTCATTATACTTCTGAAGCACACTTATGTGCTGTAGATGTTCCTGATAAAATGGCCAAGGCAGGCAAACCAGCAGCTCAGCATGTGTTTAGTTAAACTGTTGTATTTAAGTTAAAACTAGTAAATTATTTTCTAGGTTTTTTCCTTAGTTACTTATTAATTCAAGACATTTTATTTAGATGTAATTTCAAAACATAGAGGGTCTGCAGCTCCCAGGAAGCCTGTGTGTGAGGGCAAGAAATATGAAACTCCATCTGATGGCCATATTTCTTCAGCAGTCACATAGACACCGTGATCTGCTTCCTATAGATAATAAAAAGAAGGCAATCTGTCTTCAGCAGGAATTTGATGTTGACATACTTTTCATTAATCTTATATGCCTGTCATGCTTTCTTCTGTATGGAACCATTACTGAAATACTGCATATTTTCTTCCAGTAATTTCAAATGTTTGTCAGCACCTGAAATATTGCTGTGTAAATTCCCAAAAATGTAAAATCCCAAAATGTAGTGTTGTAATAGCTACTCATTAATTAGCAAGACAAGGCTTCTGTGACCTCTGAAAAGTGAACCAATAAAGATATTTTAAGAATTTGATTTGAAACAAGTTACATATGGAGTAATACAAGACTGATAATAAAGCTTTTAATGGCATTCTAAAGTTCACAGGATCCTTTGCAGTGCGTTTGCATGCTGTAGGAGGTAGCTATTTATCCTCTGCTTTTGATAGGTCACATACCTCATAAAACTATTAGAGATGTACAGGGAGAGCAGTCACACGCCCTCTGTAGAGTCAGTTTTATTTTTAAATAAATGAGTAGTTGAGCAAATAAAATGACCAGGAAGAAAGAATACATGCACTAAACCTGTTGCTGATCAGGAAAAAAACTATGTGAGTATGTAATTATTTATTTGTGTATATGTGTATGTATTTAATTAATTGTATAATTATGTGGGCCTGGAGACTACGTAACTGACACTATGTAAATATCATTCGCAAACAAAATCTATCCAACTGTGGATATGCAATTTTATCCTTTTCTTGGATGCTTTTCTTGTTCTTGTTGTAGCTTAATAGGCTGTCACATCGAAGGATAAACAGAGAAATTAACCTGTCTTTAAAACTTGTTCCATAAATAAATGTGTTTTTAGAAATTTGCCATTTATCAGAAAAGATTCAGTAGAGAAAGTACATTTTGTCACTAAAAATTGTCATGTTAGGATCCTAAATACAGTGTTTTCTTTGCCAAAATAAAGGATGCCCTCTGTAGTGTGCCTAACTCATACACTATAAAAAAAAAAGGTCAGATCATCTAAATTATAAGGCGTAAGTGCCCACTGTGAGCTAGCTCACCAGTGAGGTCAAGTTGAGTTAAAAAAACAAAGTTTTTTAATTTACATTTAAGTGTTTTACAGTGTGTAAATGATGTATTGTGTAAAATCTGTAGCTGTCAGTGTTTTGTGTCTGTGCATCATTCATGCTTATCTTCTTAATCTGCTTAACATTTAACTTAATGTATCATGCACTCTCAGTCTCCCCAATATACCCCATGTGTCTAAATGTCTGAATGAAATTATTAAATGTAAGAAAGTTGTGATTAATTCATGTGAGTGGCACTCTATGCTACTTTAAAGAAAAGATTAAAAGACTCACCTTGAAATCCTGTTACCTTTTGTAAACGTTTTCGGACTCCAGAATTCTAGGGTAAGTCCTCCTCGCACAGCAATAAAATATTGGTGGACCACATGGAAACCTTATAGGAGGTGAGGTTTATAAGCTGCCACATTTATGGTTTTTATTTGGTTGAGGCTTACGTTCGGGAGGAGGTCCTGCACAAGGCTATATTCATATTTCGCAGCAATAGTTCAGAGCAAAATTTCAGTTGCGTTGGGTAAATCTTCAGATATGATTATGAAGAAATAGAACAATATCACCTTATTCCACAGAAGAAGGATCACTGTCGCATCAGTTTTTTTTTAATAGATAAACAGCTCAGACTTTACCATCCACTCTCAAGGGATATGTAGTTTCAGCACAGTATAAATATAGAATTGAAACCACAGAAAATTTGAAGTAATTGTAGTAATTGTTTGAAGTAATTGTAGTTTGTGCCATGGTCACAAATGTATTCGTGTTTTGTGTATTTTCTGATTGTTTAGGGTGTGCTGTGAGACGGTGAGACCATGACCTTAAGAAATATGATGGATCATGTTCCAAGTTTATTGGACACTTAAAGACATCTGAACTGGTCACCTAAGGTATTTTAATCTTGTGCTGGCAGCACATAATTTACACTTAATCCCTTTAGCTGTGAGGTCCTTTTCACTCAGATAGTATGTGCTGATATATAATACAAAGTCATTTAAATCTGCATGAAATCCATTGACTCATCCTGATCGCAGTTCCACCTTGTAAAACAGAAATGTGCTGAAATATTTATCTCCTACTTTGTATTGCCCTTGTAACAGGGTTACATTTCACATTGACAGGGAATGACAAGCCTTGACATGCCCAGACAGCTTGCTTTCATGACCTCAACATGGGCTGGGCCCTAAACATGGCGAAAACTCAGAGTATGAGAGGAGAATAAACATAAATCTCACCCTCTGACCTGAGACATTTCTGGGCAGTTGACACCAGTAACTTAACAATAAAAGGCACATGTTGATTCAAGCAGTACAGTTAAGACAAGAAGCGGTTTGTAAGGCCAGCAGGGTGAACTAGTAAGTTAACTGTTTATTTAACAACTGACCTAAGTACCCTTCTCTTAGCATTAGTGACAAGACTTTACAGCTTTACAGCTTTGCTCAATACTTAGCAGCTCCTTTTGCAGTGCCCATGAAACTAAAATACCCTTACTTTTTAAAAAAAGAGATTTGATCAGAGGAGATAAATGTATGTTCATATAAAAGCACTGTAGAAAATAGACACAAAGAGTCAAAAGAACTGATGACAATTCTAAGAATTGACCAAGTACAATTTAATGTTTAATGTGCATTTACACTTCAGTCATTTATATGACCTAGGTAATATTTTGGGGAGTAGATTCATTCTCTGAAATTTTATTACACCATTTTATGTGGTTCCCTATTTTATTCATTACTCAGCCACATTATGTAGCCAGAAGTATGTGGCCATCTTTGTTGAACATCTTATTTTAAAACCATTGGCATTAATATGGAATTGGTCCCCCTTCGCTTTTCTGTGAAGGCTTTGGTGTAGATTTTGCAACACGGCAGTGAGGATTTGCTTCCATTCAGCCACAAAAGCATCAGTAAGGTCAGTTAGGCGATAAGGCCCAGCATTCTAGTTCATCTCAGATGTTTAAGATGTTTAATGTGGTTGAAGTCAGGGCTCTGTGCAGGCCATTCCGGTTCTTCCACACCAAACTCTTTAAATTATTTCTTTATGGATATAGCTTTGTGCAGGGGGCATGCTGAAACAGGAAATGGCCTTCCTCAAACTGTTGGAACCACACAATTCTCTTGAATGTCACTATAGCATTAAGATTTCTGTAGACTCTCTCTTTACTAAGGGAACTAAGGAGGCTAGCCCAAACCATGAAAAACAGCCCTGGCAGATTAATCCTCCTCTACCGAACCTTACGGTTAGCACTATGCATTTAGGCAGGTAGCATTTTCCTCGCATCTGCCGAACACACCTGTGAACATCTGTGAGACTGACAAATAGTGAAGCGTGATTCGTCCATGGTCCAATCCATGAAGCTCCCAATGAACAGTTTTTTGTGCTGACGTTGCTTCCAGAGCCAGTTTGGTAATGAGTATTGCAGCTGAGATCTTTCTTTTTTTTCTCCTCCTCACACTGTGTGTGACTTGTTGGACAGGTGGCATCAAATGATAGCGCCACGATGAAAGTCACTGAGCTTTGAAGTACGACCCAGGTTTTGTTAGTTTTGTTGTCATTAGTAGTTTTGTTTGTTATTTTGGCATATGCTCGTCCCTGAAGCCATCACTTTCATTCAGTGTAGCCACTTGCAAACTTGCATACTTTTATCAAAGTTTCAATAAATCTGCAGTTTGCTGATTTAAATGGTGTCAGGTGTCTGGTCTGGCAGCTGCTCTAGGGAGAGAGCCCACTCTCATTCTCTGTTACGGCCTGACCCTAGACCAGGGTCGTAACAGAACTAGGGGCTCGTCCAACTCTCTCTCTCCCTCTCTCTCGTTTGATGCTGGTTATGTATGGTGAGTACTTGCATTTTTGTTCGTTTGCTGGCAGTTTTCTTTTGGCAGGGAAGGTGTGTGAGTATGACTTAATTTTAGTGGATTTTATTGCCCTCCCTTTGGTAGTGAATTGGATCATGTCACAGTCTTGTTATTCATTTTGTTTGTCGCCTGTGTATTATAGAAAGAGTGAGTCCTTCTTGCAAATCCAGAGATGCAGGAGACTGGTGTTGCCTTAGGTGAGTCTGCTTCTCTTGGAGGCTTGTAGTGGTGGAGTTACGACTGCCTGGCAAATAGAGCCTAATTCTTCTTCGCTGGAGCCTTTGAATGTGGGCACTTGCAGCTGGCATAAAATGATTTGGCTTGGCTATGTGGCAGTAGGAGCATGCAGTGTAGTTGTCGTGCAATTGCGCTTTGAGGCGCGGTTGTCATGAAGTTTAAACATGCGTGCTGCCATCCCTGCTTTGCCATCAGCGAGGCTAGTGGCTGGCCTAACTGCCAGTCATGAGTGCCAGGTATGTGACTTCTGTTTTATGCGTGTCTGAGTGACCTCATTTTGCTTTTTTTGTTTTGCCTGTGACACTGTTGATACCACTGAGGTTGCTATTTCATATTACTTGATGTCTGTCCTCCATGGACTTACATTGAAAACTGCCAGTCAGACGTTTGGTTTGGTAGATCATGTTTAATGCCCTTTTGGGTAACTGACGTAGTAGTATCTACTCACCTAGACAAAATCACTTTATGCTTACATCTAAATCTGTTATCTATTTGGATGTGGATATCCGCTTCTGTATAGATGATACAATCTCCTCTGGTATCTTTGCTCATAATACAGTTCAGTATTCCATTTGGTGCCATCTAGCTCACTTTCAGACTTGGATTCTTGGATTGCTTTTGTGGTTGTAATTTGGAATCTAGGTTTCAGAGAAGTGTTAAAGAAGTGTGGTGGTTATTTTGTGTGGTCCAAGTGTTAGTATAAGTATCTGTGCTTTGTTTGTGCCTGCTGAATTACTTCTGGCAGGCATTCGTCTAATTTTATATTTTTGCGTCAGTTTGTTTTCGCCAAAAGTGCTTCATATCCTTTGCCGCATCTTATTAGTACATTTGTTGTTTCTGTTAGTTAGTTGGTGGGAAGACAGCAGTAGGTCAGTCCTGTACCTAAACTTCAGGATTCAGTCATTTTTAAGCTTTGATATGCGTGGCCATTTGGTGTTGTGTGTAATTCCTTTGCACAATATCAGAGCAAAATCATTCATTTTGCTGGTTGGGAGCTGTTTCAGAGAATTTTGGTTAGGGCTGTGAACGCCTCTATCGCAGTGGTGAAGGGGCGGGAGTTATGTAGGATCTTCTTTTAATTGGAAAGTAGATCTGATTTGGTCATTTGACACTCATTTTGGTCAGTTAGCCAGGTGTTCAGACAGATTCCTTACGTTGCTGTTTCTCTGTGAGCTAGCCTTTTTGGCTCATTGTGATGCAGCTTCTTGACTGGAAGTGTTTGTTGCTCTCTGATTCTGTCAATTTGGTGGTTCTCTTTAGTGTGTTCCTCGTTTGCCCTCAAGGAACTTTGTTTTCGTTTGTTTCTGACAGCTCATTTGTTAAATTTGTATATGTAAGTGCATTTTGGATTCGAGATTTGTAGGTTCAGGGCTTTCTCCACTCTGACCTGAACTCTCTGCAAAACTCGTTGTGAATACTTGGAAGGTAGGGGACGAGAGCCATTTTGTTTTGCTTACAGTTTCTCCTGGTTTTAAAGCAGGGAGATAGTGTAGCCCTTTGTATTTTGTTTGGTTTGCTTTCAGGTTTAGTTAGTTTTTGTTGTCATTAGTAGTTTTGTTTGTTATTTTGGCATATGCTCGTCCCTGAAGCCATCACTTTCATTCATGCTTGCAAACTTGCATACTTTTATCAAAGTTTCAATAAATCTGCAGTTTGCTGATTTTAAATGGTGTCCGGTGTTTGGTCTGGCAGCTCTGTTACGGCCTGACCTTAGACCGGGTCGTAACAAACTGTCCGGTGCTCAAATAAGTGCAGTAAAGCACTCCAGATATATAATAATTTGGAATCTTTATAATAATATAATATGCAGTGTTTCTTAAACTATTTTCTCCAGGCTGGGTGGTAGACCCTTTGAAGCAACTAGTGTTGTGTATATGTAGTGACATCAAGCGTGTGTGGGACCAAAATAGTGTCTTTGTCTATCATTATTTATAAAATGACAGTGAAAGCATTACCAAAAGCACTATAAATACTGTGAATACACCGAATTTTACATTATCTATATCTTTGTTGCACTTTATTTAGGAAGCACAACCAATTAATTCAAATAACTTATGTGCGACTGAATGCTTTACATTTAATACCATGCCAAAAAAGTAGTTTGCATTGTAAACAGACCACCACTAATCAGGTCGCGTATTCTCAGTCAAGCAGTGACACCAACATGGTAGTGGCAGTAGAGCTGGTGTGAGTCATCCTTTTCTGTCCTTATAAGCACTTTTGGTGTTACATGTGATATTAGCAATATGGTAAACCTATCAAGACGATTTATTGAATGAGGTGGTTTGGGATGCTTGCTGTCACTGGAGT